CTAATAATTTTCACACATCTGTATATATTAGTAATTTTAAAAATTTACACCTAATTAGTAATTAATTTATTGTTTCTATATTTATTATTTAGATTGGCAGAAGTCAGCAAATCAGGAGCCTGAGTCTGAGACCAGTGGGAAGCACTCCTCCACCAGTTCTGCCTCCACTAGTGGCACTAGCACTGCATCACAAAGCAAAATGAAATTGCAATGTATTGATTCATTTATTATGAAAACATCAACTAATCAAAAAATGCAATTGGATGTCCAATGCATAAAATTTATATATGCCACAAATTCAGCCTTTACTTATGTAGAACACTCCAAATTTATAAAATTTTGTCAGATGTTGCAACCTGTATATGACCCTCCACACAAAAAGGAAGTTGATGGACCCTTGCTGGACATTGTATACAATTCCACTGAGAATGAATCAGATGATGAGTTAAAGGATATTACAGTCTGTATAGCTATTGATGGGTTGAGTAATATCCATTATGAACCAGTGATTTGTGTGTGTGAGACTGATCCTAATGGAACAGTTCATTTGATTGACTCGATTGATACAGGGCACAGAAAGTCACACATCAAACTACTTAGAAATTATTGCAATTGCAGCAATAAAAAAATGCAATCAAAAGTATGGCTGTAAAGTAATAAGCCTGGTAAGTGACAAAGCAAGCAATATGAAAAAATGAGAGAGACATAAACAATAACAGAAAATTTAGATATTGTCACTTATGAATGCTATGCTCATATTTTAAACTTACTGGTTCAAGATATCAATATTAAAGATGTTAATGAGCAAGTTAAGCACATCATTGTATACTTCCGGAATCCATTTCCCGAAAGCCAAACACAAAGAGGCAGGTGGAAAAGATTGATATTACCACAGAATGTACGTTGGAACAGCTTAGCTGATTGCCTAGAGTCATACATTCAGAACTGGCCTATCCTAATGAAGATACTATAATCTTTCTGTAATTTTTATTTTCTTATTTTGTACTGTGGGCAAAGTCACTAATTCATAAAGCATATGCTAGCTGTGTTGAAGTGTGATTACTTATAGTAATAATGATGAGATGAATTATAAGATTATTTTGTTTTGTAAAGTGACTGTTTACTCTAACGCTAGTTATTCAATACTCATTGAGTAAAGTTAACGAGTATCAAGTGTTTAATCTTAAAAACCATTACAAATCTTATGTTAACAGGTTTGCGACGAAAACAGGCTTGTAATTCACAAGGATATTGTGGCCAAAGTTCAAAATGTTGGAATTAAGCATGATGCTGAAGATTTGCTGACACATTTAAAGATCATTGTTGTTACATTAGATAAAATACAAAGAAATGACTGCAAAATTAGTAAAGGAGTTGAATTATGGTTTGGATAAGTTATATTAACCAGAATTTTTTTTTTATCCAATCTAATTTCAAAATTGTGTTCATTAAATTAATTTATATTCATTAAATTAAATTTATATGTCTAATGATATTATTACTTTTATAGTGTTCAAAATGACTTGCAACAACTTGGGATCATTGGAGTCACGCAAGCAGCCATAGATAGATTTGATATGGTTATCACAGACTATCATCTTTTAGCAAATCTTCTGGACCCAAGATACCAGGGTGCAAAGCTCACAGACAAGTATGAAGGATGCTTCACTAACTGTGTGCCACACTTACTACCCAGACACTATGCCTTCAGTTTTAAAATACTTGGCAAAAACTAGCTCATTTCTGCAACACATATTTGCAGAGTCTGTGTTAACTAATATCACGCCTCTTACATGGTGGCAGAATTGATGAACCTGTTTTAAAATTAGTTACAGAGCTGCATACAGCAGTGGCTTCTTCAGCGGGAATTGAGAGAATTTTTTCTACCTATGGACTTGTTCATTCAAAACTTAGAAACCGACTTGGACAGGAAAAGGCAGCAAAGCTTGTTAAAGTTTTCAAGCACTGAAACAAACACTACTGGCATTGTACATTTCTGAAAATAAGAAATTCTTCAAGCTGCAGAAGCCACTGCTGTCAATCCTGTTTTGGTGTTTGTACACGCAAATCTTAAAAATGCCATTGCATAAAGAAACATTTAAAAATGCTATATTTTATATTAAATAAAACATTCTGTACATTCTTGAGTCTTACACTGAAGTTTTTCTGTTTTGCTTTTTTCTTTTTCTATTTTACTATATCAAATGTTTTATTTCCAAAAAAAAACCATGTTTTAAATTTGATGCCTATGTTTTAAAACATTTTTTTTAAAATCATGCCAGCACTGCTTTCAAATAAATTAAAATCTAGTAAAACCAACCAACAATCAAGTGACAAGTGTCAATTTGGTTCTTTAATGGCATTTATTAAGCAAACCATACTGATATTTTTTTACTTCAATTAGACAAAAATAATATTAGTACACAGTAGTGATTCTCAACCTTTTCTTTGTCACAGTAAACTTTTAATAATTTAAAAATTTGGCAGCACACTAAATATAAGATAAATTTTAAGAAATTTTACTTGGTTAATTGAGGAATGTACCTATAATATGTTTTGTAAAAATAACATACAATAATAATTTTCAATAAAATTATTGTATGGGTTTCAAAGGTCACCTTTTCTAAATGCCTTGGAACTACCGGCAATTACAGGTAGGCCTCCTACAACGCAGCAGATATGTTCCTTGAAAATACCGCGTTGTGGGAAATCACGTTATAGGAGACACAAACTCAATACAAAAACTGAGATTTGGTTCTAAAAAGAGAAAAACTTGGCGTTTGAATGGTGTTTTTTGAATTTTTCAAACCAGCCATTGGTAGCCACGAATTTAACACTGGTTTCATCAGCTGACCAGTAGCGTAGCATAATGGGGGCGCCCGCCCCATGCGTCACTTTTAGGGGGCAGCAAAATTTCACAATAAATAATAATAATATCTTGTAAAAATTTGAACCATTTCATATCATATTTTTGTCGTACCTACGATTCGGACCGATTGAAATGTGCACGGAATTGTTCATTACTTATTCTGTGACAAAACTGAATTTTAGTCTTTTAAATTGAGATACCTAAATAGGGGAGCAGCGAAATTTTCCTCCGTCCCGGGCGGCTGACATCCACGCTACGCCACACTACTGACGACTGTCCCATTTGTTTTAAATAATCAAATATTTTTAAGGCTTTGTGTTTAAGTGCAGTTTTATTTAAAGGCAACCATTTCTTGTTCATATCTTCTATCCATAATATTAGCGNCCCCCCCACGGGGGAAGTGTTATAAATTTATAATAGATACATTTTGAGCCACAACAACGTGTGGCGGGGTCTGCTAGTTAAATATATAGGTACAGCACATTCAAACTTTTGTGTAAATTATATTTTTAAACTGAGTTTATTTTAAGGCATCACCAACAAATTTTCATGCAATTTCTAACTTAAATGTTAACAATAATATATTTCACTAAAATAATAAAAACTCATTAGCTGTTGGGTATTTGATCTTATACCTGTAATGTTCGTTATGAAAAGTTTAGAAATTTAATTTAAAATTATATTATTATTATTAAATCTATATATTTAAAAGCATACAAAGTGACTTAGTTCACACACTTACCATTGATCAAATTCAGAAAATGAGGTCTTAAATTAAACCTCCTGAACTCTAGTATGTAGAAAACTATAAAAATTTCAATATATTTTGTTTTTATCAAATATTAATGATCACAACAATTTTTGACTGGTCAGATGGCCATTAATACTGTAATCTGATCAATTATTATAATCATTACCACTGTATGATAATTTTTGTCTTAATCACCTTAATGTATGTATTTCACAAAAACATGTAATGCATCAAATATATTTGTAACACTTATGTTTAGAAAAATATTTACATTTTGTCAGGTTTTACATTTACATTTGTGTTATTCCATGCTTCACTTTGATGGCATTATTTGTAAGCAAGATGGTCAAAATGTTAAATTTATTACATCTTACTTTATATGTTAAAATTATTTTCTGTTCATTAAAGTTTGATTAACCATTGATTAAAGCATTGGAGGTCCCAAGCAACTTCCAATGAATGCAGTCTACTGTAAGGTCTCGTTTTATGCGGTGGATACGTTCTACAGAAAAGCGCATATAAAAAATTTGCATAAAAAAAATACTTTTTACTTGCCTTGAAAAAGTAGGGATATGTTCCGTAATTTTCTAAAATCGCATAAAACCAAAACAACGAGTTAAAATTAACTTAAAACCACATAAAAAAGTTTGCAGAAATTAAAAGAAATAGGCTGCTTAATAAATTATTTCAAATGTCTGAAAGAAATTCATATAAAAGCTTAAAATAAACTTGTATTCAAACTTAATTCAGTTTATTTTATTGAAAAGTAATACAAGGGGAATCCCCGAATTGCAAAAGCTCACTCTAAAAACAAATCACTAACATCTGGATGTGAAGAGTTAATTAAAACCCTTTTAGTTCCTCGCCCGAGTTAACTCGGGCAGAATACATAGAGTTAAATAAAACACGGTCCTTAAGGCCATTTTTCAATTTTTTTTTTTTTTGAATTTTTGGAATGTTTTTTAAGTCTCCAAATTTTTAAAAAATATTTAAAAATATACGGCCAGCTAGTGTTCACCCTACTTTAAACCCTTGTCCTCCCGCGACGTCTATAAGAATGTCCTGGAAAATCCAACTCCAGCTGTGTTCAAGGTCATCCAGATGTGTAAACAATGACTCATCCGTGCTAAATTTCACAGAAGGGCGAGACAAAGGAAGTTAAACTTTGAAGCTTTTTCTTCAAAATTAACGCATTTCTTTTGTTTTTTTTTCAGTTTTAAGTATTTTTTATGTTTAATTACATTTACATCAAAAATTGCTAGGAACTAAAGTGATTAAGGTAGATCTAGCTGTCCTTTACATCCATAAACGTTATATGTCAGTGGAACAAATGGAGTGAGCTTTGAGCGTTCCACGATTTTTGGAGACTGTCTATACACGGGCTTCCTAAACAAGCCTATATGTATGTTTGTCCAATAAATTTTTGGATGAAATACAAACCGCACAACTTCCTCTAGCCAAACTGCTTTGTATCTGATTATTAATTAACTTAATACAGCTGATAGAAGATCCAGCAGTTAATTTGGTGCTCAGACTTTTCTTATTCACTAATTCAAAATTTCCATTAAAAAAATCTTTGATCTAAAAAAATAATTCTTCTTTAAAAATTTTCACACTTATGTGAGGACCCAAACGGGGTCCGAAAGCAGGCCAATAACGACTTTTTAAAAGAGTCAATTTTCGTAGTGCGAAAGAGCGAACTTAAAGATCGGATTTAAACAATGAACCTTTTGTCTTGTTAAAAGATTTTAAACAATAGATAGAGTAAAGTCGAGGAAAACGAGGTTGGAGAGGAGTCGTGTTCCGACGCGACGTTGAACTCTCCCGCGCCCTTCCTGGAGTTTCGAATTGTCACCATGTGACGAGGAGAGACCAATGGAGAGGCGACCGCGGTGGAAAAATTGATAAAACCGCGTTTTCGGGAACTTTACGGAGTCTTGGGTTTTGGTGCGTAGCGCTACCCTGCTGGGATTTGGTGCTCACGACAGAGACACAACGAAGGCTCTTTCGACGCCCTAGGAGCTGGTTTCGACAACCCGTTCTGTCCAGAATCGCCGAGGTTCGACTCGTTAACCGAGGACATCGCGACAAGTGCTGGTGCGTGCTCCGGGGACATCGTTCTCTGCGTCCGACGTGCGAAACACCCAAGGACCGACCGAACTGTCGAAAACACCTCACCCCTAATCGGCTGGCCTCACACTTATAGAAAAAATTATATACTCAATAAACTAATAATAAAATAATTTTAACATACAATTTTTACTAAGATAGTTATTTGTTGGTAAATACAAATGGCAAACTATTATTTAATAAATAACTTACTGCAGATTTTTTAGATTTGTATGATAAACTAACAGGTGCTTCGTCACTGTCGCTGCTATATTCAATATTGTTCTTTTCTTTTTTGGATTTAGTCTGTCAAAATAATTTTAAAAATATTTTAATTATTACTATTTAATTCTATATAAAATATTTTCTAATATTTCATAATTTTTAAAGAAAACATTTAAAACCAATCCTACATTTAATTTTAATCATACACTGAGTGACCAAATTATTAGAGATACCATACTAATAACAAGTTTGTCTTCTTCAAGCTTTGATCACAGCCACAATTCTTCTATAAGTTGATCCTAAAAGTTTTTTAAACTATTGGAATATTGGCCCATGCTAACATAATAGCAGTCATTAGTTGGTTCATATAAGATAGTGGCATTTATAGGCTTTGAATGGATCATTTCACCTCATCCCATAAATGCTCAATGGGTTGAGATCAGACAACTGAGTCAACTAATGAAGCAAGTTGTACTCAGTTGTTTTCATTGATTAATCTGAGACCAATCGAGCACAGTGATACAGTGCGTTGTCCTGCTGAAAGTATCAATCTGTAATGGGAAATACCATAGCCACAAACAGGTATACCTGGTTGGCAACAATGTTGAGGTAGCCCGTGCCATTAATTATCCACTCAGCAAGTAGTCCAATTGTGTTGCTCCTGGCCCACAGCAGGCATGCTTTCTTGTTTTTCTGTGTTAGAAAACCCATCCAAGTGAAGGGTTGCTCTAATAACTGGCCACTCAGCACATATTATTTAAATACATTCAACCAACCAACAGCCAAAATAATCAGACAGAAATTATCCTACAAATATTATTTTTAGAAATTACATGATAAGAACAACTAGAGGTAGATGTTAGGTGCCATCTCTTAACTAAAGTAGAAACTATAATTTAATTTTAAATTTAGAATAGTCTGGAAGAAAGGAATTGGCCCAGAGCAGGAGTCGAACCCACAACCTCCACTTACCATGTGGTGCGCTGACCAGTTAAGCCACCTGGACCTCCAAGGAACTCATCTCTTCAGACACATTTAAACTTTAGATATAACAATCCAACAGTTACCCAAGGCATGTAATTTCTAAAAATAATATTTGTAGAATAATCTCTGCCCAATTATTTTGGCTGTTGGTTGGTTGATTATTAATACATCACGTTATTGGGTTGTTGATGTGTTTAAATACATTAATCGCTATAAAAATTAGTACACCAAGGAGGAGTTGTTGTATTGCTGTGACACTTGGCATGCAGATAATCTCAAGCAGATTGGAAATGATTAGAGTTATACTGTGTTGGCTCATTGCATAATGCCAGCAGAAGGCATTAAAGTGCATCTCCCTTGGCTGTCAAAAAAAGTATGCAAAGACATCCTGTCTACAGTTTACCTGTTGCAGAGGGATGCTGTATCACTAGAGAGACTAACCAAATTTGAAAGGAAAAGGATAAGGTTGAGAGAAGCTGGATTGTCATCTCACTGAATAGCCTGCCACCTTGGCCATTCTCACAACACTGTGAGCTGGTGTTGGGACAGTGGATGAGAGAGAGTTCACACACACACACGCTCAGGATGCCCTTGGCATCCTGAGCGTGTGTGTGTGTGATCTGACGCTGTGATCTGACGCTCAGGATGCCAAGGGCATCCTGAGCGTCAGATCACAAATCCTAGGCAGATCACTAGCCTGAGAGGCTAGTGATCTGCCTAGGATCTGTGAATCTGTCTAGTGATCTGTTGGAGGATGAGTGGTGAACTAGCCTGAGAGGCTAGTTCACCACTGGTCCTCCAACAAACATGCACACAGTCAACTGTATCATTGTCCACTATCCAGACACAGGTGATGTCATCATTACAGGCCCGAGTCTGTCCATACCATTTAGAGGCACCTGGGTGAAAAACATTTAGTATTGCGGTAGCCATTACATCTGCTGCCATTGACAGCCACCCATTGTTGCCTTTGTTTGAAGTGGTGTCACTGTTGATGGAATCAGACCACAACAGAATGGAACCAGGTCGTCTACAATGATGAATCCAAATTCAGTTTGGGCATCGACAACAGCCATGTTTGTGTCTGGAGGACCTGTGGTGAACACCTCAATCCTGCCTAAGCTTTAAAGAGGCACACTGCCCCACAGCCAGTTTGATGGTTCAGGCAGCCATCACACATGACAGTCAGTCACCTCTAGTAATGATCCAAGGGACCACAATAGCTCAGCTGGTATGTTAGTTATATCCTGCAGCCATGTGTGTTGCCTCTGATGGCAGGGCTCTCAAAAGCCATTTTCCAACAGTGTAATGCTGAACTACACAAACCATGGGTAGCACAAGACTGCCTCCATCACATTGCAACACTTTCCTGGCCAGCTCTGCCCCATGATTTGTCACCAATCAAACATGTCTGGGATCACCTGGGATGCCAAGTTGGATAGTCTAGGAGTTTGGCCAAACTAGAAGACCGAGATGCCGCAGGACACCCTACGGAACCTGTATGCCTCTACACCCATCCATATCACATCGTGTATTCACACTAGAGATGGTCCAACAGGATACTAGAATACTAGAACCTTCTTTCATTTGTAGTTTTTCCTGCAATAAATGATCCTTTTGATTTCATTTTGTAATCACTTATATCAAAATTACACCCGCACATGTACAATTTTGTTTGATTCCAACTCCTCCTTGCTGCACTAATTTTTATTACAACAAGTGTATTATAAATATAAGCTTTAATATACTTAAGAGTTTATTTTACTAAACAATTAATAATATAATCAAAAACAGATTTAGCTTTATTGAAAATGAATGGAACACAAATATAAATAAACATCAGTGTATCATCATTATACAACTTTCTTTTAATGCCAAACTGTTCAAGGAGTTACTATCTTGTTTTGGATTACATTAAAACCCAACATGATGTGTTGTATAGTTTTGTGCATTACATGGCATTTTCTAAAAGTGTCATCTGTAAGTGTTATATACTTTAAAATGTGATTTCTGTAATTTCTTGTATCTATGACCTAATTTTATATGGCAATTTAGCTGACTTACAGATGTCTTTGCAAAGAAACATCTGTAAGTCAGCCAGCAGTTTGATGCAGTTCTGTCAGGTCATTAAGATGTGTACCACAGAGCTCCTTTCAAATCCAAGACTGCATGATGATGATTGTGTATTTTGTGTACTATGTTATATCCATGTCAGAATGTGTAATTTTAATGGCATAATATTTTTGTCTGCAACAGTGACATCTTTGTGTAATTGTGGTGTTTCTTGTTTTCTGTAAAAAAAACTCTTGCAGTGTCTGTATTTGTTTGTAGTGGAGGTTTAAAACAACTGAGACCATATCCTCTCTTTTTATAATGAAGAGGCAGCCTTTCTGTGGATGACTTAGAGTAGCATTTCTTTATATTTCATTAATGTCATTCATGCTTTCCTTTTGATGTTTTCTAATTCTGTGCAGTACCATAGATAGCTTTTCATGTGCCCTGTGTAAGATTTTATTTTTGATCTTCATCTTTATTCCAGAAAAAATGAAGAAATAAATACAGTAGACCCCCCTATAATGCTTAGATACGTTCCACGCTAACCGAAAATTACGTTGTAGGAATGATTAAATACATGAGCCAATCGCAGCCCGATAGGTGGGAACTTTACGGACTAAGGCTGTTTGAAAGGTTTTCTTCTATAAAATTAACCGATTCTAGACTAATTCCACTCAACATTTCCAAAACACGTATAATTTTTTGGGAATAATCCGTATAAACTACGCTATAAACAAAAAATTATAGGATTACTTACCGAGTGTGTACCGTTCGACTACGCCGTTGCTTAAAGCTGGTTTTCATCGCGGAACAGCACATGAAACGGCGGCCGCGATTTCTAATAACGAATTTTTCGCATAAAAATAACTTGACCTTTGGAGACATCATTAATATAAATAATTTTTATGGCCGTTGAATAAGAAGTGTTTCTTTCACAAGAAATGTATAAAATTAGTGCTGTATTAGACTTACGGTACCTAATTTACATACTGTACAGACGATAATAAACTCAACTTACTAGCCTAAAATCTCCGTAGCGTGTTGCCAGGCGGCAGAAAGCATATATATAATTATAATAAAGTTACAATAAATTAAGTTAATATATAATTATATATACAGTACCTAATTTATATATAATTAATATATAATTATATGTACAGTACCTAATTTATATATAATTTATATATAATACTAAACAGACGATAGCAAACTCAATTTAGCCGCTCCGTAGCGTGGCGCAGGGTCGGAGGAAAGTAGTTCGGCTGCTCATCCACTATTGGTCCAGACTCTATCAATCTTGTCGCGAAACGACGTTATAGGAGGTATTTTATACGAAAGTTTCTACAATTTTTTCGCTACGTTATAGGAATTGTCGTTATAGGAACGTACGTTATAGGGGGGTCGACTGTACAATAAAAATGGTCAGTTAATTTTCAACCAAAAGCTTTACAGAATCAGTTCCCATGGTAGCAAAATTTAAATGAACAAGCTTGACAACTTAATTCACATTAATCTTGTGTCTTAAGTAATCTTATGTTGATGAACACAAACGATTTCATCCTCTCTGAAGCCATCTTCAGGCTATCGTTCCAAATACAAAAATGACACAACCATACTTGGTTGCTTGTCTAAATGAATAAGTTGTGAAAGTGAGAATTGGATGAAGGTCCAGGCAGCATAACTGGCAACTCAATCACACAATAAGTGGGAGTTGTGGGTTCAAGTCCCAATTTGGGCTGATTTTTTTTCTTCCAAAGCCTTCTAAATTAATTATTAAAATATTAACTTGATTATAAATATTAAATTTAGCAAGAGATGGCACTAAATGCTCCTCTAGTGTCAAATTACTTAGCATTCAATTAATAATAGTAGTAGTAGTAGTATAGCCCAATATAATTCAAAAATTATCTGGATTTACACAAAGCATATAAAAAAGCATACAATAAAATAAAAAAATATATATAACATAGTGAACTACAGCTCAAAGACAGATTTCCATGCCTTGTACTAGTACATTTCTATTTGCTCCAAAGGTTTTAAGCAGCCACTCCATCTTGTGGGACATATTATAGAGACTAGATCCCAATGAACTTATACTCCAGATTCCATGGGATACATGGATAACACAGTGGTGCAGATCCCTTCCTAATGTTGATTTTGTGCTCACGCAGCCAATAAGCACAAGCATGAGAAGGATAAGCAAGATGGTCACAGAATACCAGGAGTCTACAGAGTGCCAGCGGTATAAAACAGATTTAACATGCAAAAGGAATACATAGACACTCATAACATGGCAAAAGTAAAATAAATTTTAGATTGGCAGTGGATGTAGATTTCAAATGTATTCTGAGCACTTTTCTGTTTACCTATTTAGAGAAGAATGAATTAGGTCCAGCAGATGAAACTGTTTCAGAGAATATGGTGCTTCACATTTTGAAGTTATACCTAATGCAAAGGAAGAAATGTAACTAATTACAATTTCATCACTTTTCTCAAACTGGCAGAGAAGTTAGAGAACAAGAATACCACAATTTTAAAATTTCACAAAATAATTGAAGAAACATGTAAAGTCTTCACCTTTTGTCCATGTCACACTTCGGGAAAAGTCTTATTGCAGAGTCAATCTTTTATTATAGGCTCTTATCTGCCTAATTATGTAAAACATGCAAGATAAAATTTCATTTGGCGATAGCATAATTATACACACATATATTAATGAAAAGTATAAAATTTTATCTTACATATTTTACATATTGAGACAGATACGAGCCTACAATAAAAATCGACTCTGCTGTAAGACTATTTGTTCCCAAGGTGTGAAATGCTGGAAATGTATGTAAAGGTGTGTATTTATTAAATATAATTTAGGTGTGATATGGATGAAAGATGAAGAGTTTACATGTTTCTTCAATTATTTTCTGAAATTTATTATATAATTGTTCTGACTTTTTTTTTAATAATTTTTATTAATATTAATTAATAAATACCACAATTGTCAATACAATGAATCAGTATTGCAAAGAAATTCCACCTTCCACAAAAAATTCATGACAAAAATAATATTCCACAAAACTCCTGCACAACAATGATGTAACATACCTTAAAAATAAACTAAAATTAAGTACACTCCATGGGTGTCCAAGAGGTTACATCATGCACTGTGTTTTTGTTCTTGTAAAGAAGATACCAAGACATCAGAACATACTGCTGTAATGGGCAAGTATAAGGAATAGGCTTAATCATGATCATGGCAGAGTTTGATACAGAGCCAAGTTCATCAAGAAGTTCTGTAAAGATTATCTAGTGTGAGAAGAAAATGCTCCTATCACTGCATTCTTCAACTTCACTCTTCTGTTATCTGGTAGTACTGTTGACTAACTTTGTTCTTGAAAAACTCCATAAAGCATTGTCTGCATCATAAGAAGGCCATAGTGGCCATAGGAGAGGTGCTGGAAATGTCTCAGATCCATGGCCAATTCATATTTAGAGTTGTCAGTCAGCAGTGTTACCACACAACAAAAAAGTTGTCTGGTAACACTGTTACTGTCAGATTCTGCCATGATCACAATAGAGCCCATAATAATATTTTACCTAATTGTGCATTTACAAATTCAATGTGTTCAAAAAATAATTTTACACTGAACTTGTATTCCATTTTAATTTGTTTGTTAGTTCTGCTCTCTATGTATTTTTACCTGATGTTTGTTACAAACATATGAAAGCATTAGTAAAATTACTATTTTGAGTTAATTCATGCTAGTTTTGAGTGTTGATCTTCATTTACAAGAGCTCATACTGATGTTTTGAACAAGTGTAAGTTATGTTTTGACATATGTCTATGTATCTCCTTTAGAAGAGCAAACTAACAGTGTGAATTACTTCCCAGTCATGCTGTACAATATCCATGGAGCAATTAAAAAAGTATTGAATAATAGATTCTAAAATGGTATAATTTAGATTAAAATTCAACATTAGCAAATTTACTTACTCCTTGTATCATAGGATTAGTAGGGCCAAGCTTCTTATCCTTTCTGACTATTACAGTTTCATCTTCGCTACTACCTAGATAACAATTTAACATTAAATGTAACTTTAACAAAATAAAACATATCTTAAACATAATCATTACCTTTATTACATTGTCATTTTTGAGTTTATTTGACAGAAGGTAATTTCTATTATATAAAAATGTATTAAAATATTAATTTTTTAAATTCATAATATTCTTCAGAGAGAGCATAAAAAAAAATTATTTTAAGCTCTTTCTCAATAATATGATTTATAAATAATTCCATTTTAAAATAAAAAAAACTTCAATTTCAATATAATTTTATTACAATGCCCATCTAATCATAACCAATCTATTCCAATTTATTTTTTGTTAAAAACATAGTCATTATTAATCAATATTCACACCTCCTTTAATGTTTGCAATGATGTCGGAGGACATCAGTTTGAACAACTGTTGTATTTGACCACACATACCATATTCAAAACTACCTGCCGTACATCACCCAATAATAATAAAACGTGTCCGGCCCCTAAACAATACATTTCTAGACACTTGTTAATGAGATCTAAGCTGTTTAATGTATCATTTTACAAACATGGATAAAGTTTTACACTATAATCACCCCATATATACGCTTTCTAAAATAATATAAATCAACACGAAGAAAACCCAGAAAATACAAAGAGGCGAGGCTGGCCCGTCGGCGAGGTACAAACCCACCACCGACTACCGGCACCCGGCCAAACTATTCGGACTCCGATAAAAATATTTATCATTTTATAAGATACCGATATAATTTCTGTAGTTTTTGAATAGTTTTAGACGGTGCACAGTTATATCACTTGTCTTCAACTTTTAAAGTTATTTACCACAAAATCCTATAAAATGATATCATGTGACGTCACTCGATGCCACTTGTAGACATTGACGATGCCTGATACCAACTGACAATTGCCTTCAAAATGTGAATAAACTTTACATGTGAATAAACTTTAGACTGTTTGATAACAATTCACATCCTTTTGATGACTTAAACCCGTAAGAATTACCTTCGGTTGCTTTGTATATACATAAACATACATAAATAAACAAATGGAAATGACCTAAAGATACTTTCTACCCGCACTTGAACCATTTAATTCGGCCGTCTTTGAGTTATTAATTAGAAAAACTTACTCGTTTCTTCTTTCTGCGCTCTCCTCTTTCGCGAATTTTGGTTTCTTACGTTTCTTTTGGCAAAAATACAAACTTTCTTTTCTTCGATTTCGACAGATTCGTCGGCCATCTTGCTCCGAAATCAATAACCGAACGACCCGAAACCCAACAGACGATATTTCGGAACGCGGGAACCCTGGCGGAAAAATTCGGTAATTACAATAATAAATCACACACACCTGAATTTTTTGCCGAGTTATTTTTGTTTATTCCAAACGTTTTCGGCCAATTCGTATAGGCCATCTTCAGGTTTTAATAGTTTTCGTTGTAATGGAATCATTCGTTCGAAATTCGTTTGAATTTGAACTTATTACAACTTTTATGTATAATAAATAAATTAAACTAAATATATGATAAAATGTAATCTAAAAATCGCGTTTCAATTTAACAATAAAATAAAAGAAAATTTATAACTTTGAGTTTGAAATACTAAAAACTCCAGAACATGAAAATGTTTATGGATTATTAAAACCCATATTTTTCTCAATTTTATATTTCCAAGCCGTTGGTAATGCTTTTGCATCTTTTGCATTTAGGCATCTGTCCCTCATCTTACTTCTGTAAATCTCTATTTTCTCCATTTCCATTGCGATGGAAGGTGAGTGTCCCGTCCTAACAATCTTGGCTTCATCCCATTTGACTACTGATCCGTCTGCCTGTGCCATACTTGCTAATATCGTACTATTCAGTTTTTTATTTATACTATATTTGTGCTCCTTTAGTCGTACTTTCAGGTTTCTTCTGGTTACTCCGATATACTCTTTCTCAATACCTAATTGTTGGTTCTCAAAGGGTATACTGTATACACCCGGTTGGTCTTCTAAATTAATTTTGTCCTTGTCGTTTCTTAATAATCTATAAATATTGGGTGCTCTTTTATATATTATCCTTGCATTTTTGTATTTTCCTAATTCCTTCACCACCTTCTTCGTTTGTTCATTGTATGTGAACTTATTGAATGTAGTATTGTTGTTATGGTTTGGATTCGTAGCTTTTTGTTTACCGTAGCTTTTTACAAGGCCTATGATTGTGGACTTTCTGTATCCTAAAGTCCTTGCTATCTGTTGAATTCTATTAATTTCTTTATCCCTGTCTTGTACATTGGTGCAGTACAGGAAGGCCCTTTTGATCAGTGCCTTAAACGCAGATAATTTATATTTATATGGGTCTTTTGACCATGCCGGTATGTATAAAGGAGCGTGTGTTGGTTTTAAATATACGTTCGTTTGTATGTTTCCTAATTTGAATTCCATGTTAATATCCAAGAAATGGATGTTCCTTCGGCTTTTTTGTTCTAATTTTAGCTTCAATCCGTGCTCATTATNATAAACCTTGTTGTTAATAAGGTAATAACAAGAGTAGATTACTCTTGTACTCTAAATAATACTTGTTTGTACAGCACTCAACAGCTGTAATGTAAAAATAGACAATACAGTGTAGGCTATTTGATTTAATAAGAATCTTAATTAGCTTTAATAAAATGAATTCCTTCATAAATGTTAATAAAGTAATACTATATAATAATTGATTGCTAGTGATATGATTTATTATCGATCTAAATTCTTTTACTTGGCTACAGCACATTTACTATGCTTAAAAATCCCACTTAAAACCAATATAAACATAGGATGATACAGCCAGTGTAGCACAACGATTGACAGCAGCGCCTCTTGCGGCAACCTCCAATATAGGGACAGAAAATAAGCTCGATTTCGACACTATATTTTCTAGCCACTGTACTGTAAACCTAGAAGTTTGACAATGCTTACAGGCGGCGCTGAACGACCAACGTACACGTTTTCGTGATGCAAACGTCGGCCGCAACCTCTTTAATATTTATTTATATTCGGGGTGGAAGACATTGAAGAAAAAGTGATCCTCGAAATGAAATAACACAAGACAGAATATATTATAAATATATTGCAAATAAACTAAAATTTCATCAGTTTTCAACTCGAAGAATGCGCTTTTCGATTTCAACTCGTTTCTTTCTTTAAAACTCTTTCCGCCCCGTAGGCACAAAGAGAGCCTTTTTAGCAAGTCCATTACGCGTTCGACTAGGCCCACAATAGGGCGGCCTGGTGGTGGACTGAGCCCGACATATCCGGACGTGGCACCCATTCTTGGATTTTCTCGACCCGTCCAGATTCTGTGTTAGGTCCCGCGAGTGGTAGGCTGCTACTGTAACCGTTCGGCCATCCGCCGTTTTGGCTTTTGGAGGCATTCTCTTTTAGTTTGGTTCATAACCCGCCACTGGTCCCTGAAATTAGGCCTTTCTATTGTGAACCCGGCCTAGTTGGTCGGGTTATTAGGCCAGAGTGAAAAGACCAAAAATGAAAAAAGAAAAATTAATTAACGATACCAAACTTTAAATGACTTTATCTTTATAATTTATTTTTAAAATTTATATTAGTAAGACAAATTTTATGTAAATATATTAATACTGTATTCCTTTTATTCCATTATAAAATATTAGGAACGATTGATATTAACTTCGACCGCTAGGTGAAATGTTGTCGCTTTTTTCGCGGAGGGAAACATGAATTCTCCTTTGTTACGACGAGATCAAACGGAAAATATTTATCAATTTCATCAGGTTTTAAGAAAGAAATTGACATTTTGCTCGTACACGGAAAACCTTTTAGGTCTAGAAGAACAGGAAAAGTAAGGAATCGAAATGAATTGCCACTTAATTTTTATAACGTTTAGAATTAAAGCTTATTTAAATGTCAATCTTGGATGAAGGCTGCAACGTCATCCCTGTGTGAAAACGAAATATTTTCCCCAAAATCACGTGTTTGTATATGGAAACACTATTCTACTATATGCTACTTGTGAATGGTAATGTTGAGACCTTAACAAAGCTGTAGACCACGCCTGTAGGAGCAAAAAAGTTAAAGAAACCATACTTTTGCGTGTGACCCTTTGCGAGATATATCCCTCCGAAATCGGCCAGCTTCTGGGGCGCAATCGGGAGTCGACCATATAAACCATTCTATATGAAACGTAGTCGAGATGTTCGACTGATGCCGTGGAACCAATATTTTTTATTAGAGTTCCTGTAAATGATTAATTCACTTCTTGTAAATAAGTCTCAAAAAATTTTTTTTGGGATTAGGGACAAACAATATAATGTATTCTTGAACTTGAACTCTAAGTAATATAGTGTGTATGCTCTTTTTATGTGATTATGATGTGCAAATTAAATATAATAATAGTTCAAAGAATTATGTTTTTGAAACCGGTAATAGTTTGATGTGGTTCTGTTACCTGCTGCCGTCGTTTTGGCGTGACGTTTGAGAAAGAAACCTTTATTGCCGTGGCATGATTGGCATGTTTTTTGTCTGTGACTATTTTAAATGTGCAATCTCTTAATGCGATGTAAACTGGAATATTAGCATTGCTGCTCGTCGAAATATTCACGTTTCCCATTTGAAACATGGTATTGAAATGATACTTAAAACATGTTATGCTATCTCTAGTTATAAAAATAATTTTTTGGATTATTATTATTATTAATCTGCATGATGTAATCGTATAAGAACATTATATATGTACTATATTACTTAAGTAGAGTTTGAAAGTATAAGTTACTTTGGTTTTCCTTAAAACTATGTTTGTACCATTATAAATATGTAATCGCTTTTATTGTGTAGGCAATGTGACACAAAGAAAATAAGTTAATACCACGTATAATCATACAAAATCTGCTTATTGTAATCACTCGCTCACACTAATAACGATAACCAAATGGTAACATTGTTATGCAGAGTATAAAGTGAAGATTACAATTAATGGAAATTCTAGTCTTATTGATTTAAACCACTGAAAAGACATTTTGAAATAATTAAAACAATATATTTCAATTATAAATAATAAATTTATAATTGAAATATATTTATTTCATTAATTGTATTTTATACTTGTTGCATATGTAGATTTCTATATTACGATAAAACCATCAGTGGCTGAATGGAGAAAACTGCCAAATGCTAGAATTGGTTATAGGTTCCCTGTCGATCAATGGGCTGGCTGCGTAGAGTTTTTTAGGTTTCCTTTTAATGTATAATGCCTAAATGGCAGCCAGTTTCTTGTAGAATATTCTCTATAAGAAATTATCTAGTGTATAATTGAAGTAAGAAATATCAACAATTATACAAAAACAATACTATACTGAATGCAAATAATGTTTAATTTTAATTATTAAAGTGTTGGTTTAAGACGTGACGTAACTGGTAACAATTGTGTTTTATCAATTAGCGTGTTGAAGCAAATAGTGCAAAAAATTTGTTTGCCTATTTACCTGAGGATAATAACTGAACTCTGATTAAAATAAGTGAAATTTTTATAATTTATTTTAATTTATATATTTTGGGCTTTATTAATTCTGATAACATCAGACAACTATGATTACAGTAAACAGTCTATGCTATTATACTTTATAAACTTCAATGATTTTATTTTTTTTATTTGCATTAGTGGCTGATACTCAATGCTAAATTAAACATACAAAATTCACTTTCTCTTGTCTTAGAAAATTATTAAATATGTAATACATCTCTTTGTAGCATATTATCTTTATCTTTCTTTCTGTTATTGACTATTTAAAAAATAGAAGAAAGTATAAATGTCTTCATTATGTCCTTTCGCATACCTCGGAAACAAAACTGTTTTTCCCGGCGAAGTTGCCCATTTATTAGAGGTTACTTGTCTGCCGCAATGTGCAAAAAAACACTCTGGGTTGATGTCATAGTAAAATGATAAAAATATATTCATTAACACATTGGTCAGGACAACATTAGTATTTAAAGAATAGAAATTACCTTTTTCTAGTAAATCCTTTTGTAAATGTTTGTATACTTTAATTCCACAACCTTGACTCACAACTTTACAATTCTTCCTACAGTTTTATTTGTAAGATGCCTTTGCACTTGCTTGCTTACTTCATTGCATTGCAAACAAGCTTATAAGTTTGTAGGTTAAGAATGCATCTGTTTTCATTGCATCATATCATATTCGGCATTGCTCGCTCTATGTAATTTATGTGGTATTATTTAATGTGATGAATGGTTATTAAACAGAGAAATGCTGAACTATCTAGTATCTATTGTAAGTAGATATTAAAAGAAGACAGATAACATGTTGCATTAAAACAAATTTCAATTAAAATTTACAATTTTATACTATATGAAAAAGACAATATCATTAACTGTGTAATATTTATTTAACAGAATTTTGAAAGATCTTATAAATAGATCAATCAAATTGGGGGAAAGCAACTCCGTTCTACTTATTGGTCCCAGAGGAAGCGGAAAGACTGCGGTAAGTTTATAAATATTTGTTGTTGCTACACGAATCAAAATTATCACGAAAATTAAACTAATAATAGATATTTTCAATAAATTTTTCATTTTTTATATACAATATGTGTATTTGAATTAATAATAATTACATTAAATAAATACAGTAAAATCCAGATTGATTGATACCCATTAATATCAGTGTATAAGCTCATTGTTTCATTATTTATGTAGTGTGATCTTTTTAATACTAAGCTATCCCCACTTGAACTTTTACCTATCCTGTAAAATCAATATTGATATGAGAAAAAATTAAATTAATTCAATACAGAGATTTTGTATATTAATATCGATTATTAATTAATAATTTTTTTTTACTTAGACATTAGAAAAAGTAAAGAAAGAGCTGTTTCAATTATCTGAATTAGCATCTAATTGTTTGCAAGTTAACTTAAATGGTAAGAATTAAAATTTTTTTAATAATCTTGTTACAAAAAGACTTTGTAACCTAATTAAATGAAAACATAAGATTTATTACTTAATATATAATTTGCATATTATACAGATAACACATATTGTGTTTAAATTATCTAAGATTTTATAAATCAATGTTAGAATTCTAAATTTATATTAAATCATTATGGAATGTTTTTGAGGGTTGTAAGAAATGTATATTTTCATCATATAAATAATATAGTCATATTGACATTTGTCAGATTGGCTCATTTGGCAGAATATTGGATTGGTTTTCCTAAGGTCGGCACCCAAATCACTCATTTCAGAATTGCCACGTATAGGGTCGGCCAATAAGTCCAAGCGACTTTTGTTGATAGATAGAGGTAAAAATGTTAACGAAAGCAAAAAGATGCATAACCAAAACAAGCATTTTCAATATATTATGCTTTTATATTTTAAAAAAGGCATAAACACAGTGCAAACATATAAAAATAAATATGTGGTGTATGATGAGATGTCTTGAAAGTACGTATGCCAGAAGTGGTTTACAATGTCTTGTTCTGGAGATTTTTCTGTTCGAGACACATTGAATTTGGGCCAGCCACAAGTGATCGGCATTGGCAAAGTTAAGGAGCTAATCGACACCAATCACACTACATGACACAAGAGATTGCAGACATTCTCCAAATATCTAAATCAAGCATGGAAAACCATCTGTATCAACCTGGCTGTGTTAGCAAGCTCAATGTTTGGGTTCTGCGCAAATGACTTAATCAAATTTCCATCAGCAACTCATTAAGAAATCTGATGTAAGAGATACACTTCTAAAGCAGATGATAAAGGGTGATGAGAAGTGGATCATGTACAACAATATTGAATGCAATTATCATGGGGGCTGCATGACAAACAGCCACAAACTACTTCAAAGGCAGGGCTTCACCTAAACAAAATCATGCTCTCAATTTGGTGTGACTGGAAGAATGTTGTGTTCTACGAGTTGCTTCCAATGAACAGAATAATCAATTTGGATGTGTACTGTGGCCAACTGGTCAAATTTGAATTCAGCTATCTACAAGTGTCTGGAATTGGTAAATTGGAAGATTATGCTCTTCCAGTGACGACAACAGACCTCATTTGTGTTTGCAAATCCAGCAAAATTGTTGGAGCTGGGGAGGAGATCTTGTCACATGTTCCTCATTCACTGGATATTGCCCCCTCTGATTCCACCTGTTTTGTTCTCTTCAAAATTCTTTAAATGGATGGCATTTGTTTCCAAGGAAGACATTGAACAGAACTCGGAACAGTTTTTTGCCAAGAAAAGATTGGAAGTTATTTGAGCAAGAAATTATAGAGATAACCAGAAGATGGCAAAAGATGAATGAAATGATCTGTACCTTACTGAATAAAGCTATTGTTTTCCCTGAGAAAGTTATCTTCTAGTTACTCATTAAAAAAACTGCAATTAAAATCTTGGACACTTATTTACTAGACTTGAGAGCTTGGTTTGTTTGAGTTATGGCAACGCAACACTTGGGTGATCTGCCTAGGGGGATGCCTTCCGACAGGTCTTTTTAAGGGAAACTGGCCCCTATTTAGGCATTACAGACATGGAGAAAACCTAGAGCAAAACTACCAAATGATTATGTATAAGTTCTTAAAATATTTTATGTATTTAATAAATTTAAATTATAGGTTTAATTCATACCGACGACCAGATAGCATTAAAAGATATCATCCTTCAGTTACAGTTAGAGAATAAAATAGAAGAAACACCATTGGTAAGTAATTTGTTTAAATTACTTATTCTAATTAAAAATAGTCTTTTAAATTATTTAATTTATTTTAGAGGAGTTTTGCTGAGACATTGTCATTTTTATTGGAAGTCTTAAAGAGTGGTAAGTGTTAATTCGTTGATTAATCATATTGAATTTTTAGTAATAATAACTATCTAGCAAAGTAAATTATTTTTAATATTCATAATTATCATTAGTTTTTGTATTTCAAATATAATTTTATTGTAGATCCTCATAATGGCCAAAAACATTTGTTTACTATAACTTTACTGGATTAAAATATTTCTGCTGTAAATTAAATAAAATTGTTCTATCCAGTTCATTTGCTTTTTTATTTTCAAGTATTTACAAGAATTAAAACAATTGAAATCTGTAATTGATTCCATTTTATAGATAAGATAATCTGTCTCTGCATTGAAATAGTCATTATATTTAATTGAAAATTACATATAAATAAATTACAGTGATTCCTCCGGAAGTACTGTAAAATTCCACAAACTTGGATTGATACAGGGTGTCCGAAAAGTTACCATGCAGTGAGAAATTCGTAACGACATTAAAGCTATTCATATAGCATTGCATATTAAACCTATAAGTCTTACAACATTTCTACTTCTCTCTCAAACTACACTTTCTCCACTTTACTCTATGAGTGAGCAATGACGTAAGTCGTACGTCACTGCGCATTCCCGGACATTCTAGAATTTTGACTCCAGTTTTTGAAAGACTTCTCTGCCAATCACGTAATCTCCTGTGGAATCTAGCCCACTAGGTCTCAGTCCTCACTCCTGGGGATTTTGGGTCATCGGGTGGATATTTCTGGCACTTGCCGTAGGAGAAACTACAATATTGAATGTAAAACTTTACTTAAACCTTTTCCACTACATAGTAGCTTTTCAGACACCCTGTGTAACCACAATGATAACATAATTCAATTTATTCAAAATGCTTGAATTAAACTGTTTCTTCTATTGTTAAATTGCCAATTTCAGAACTTTTTAAGTTAATAATTATTATTTTTTAATTGAATCAAGTATAATGATATTTGATCTTTTTAATACTCTTGTTTTCATTCCAGGTAATCAAAATAGCAAATGTATTTTATTTACTTTGGACGAATTTGATTTGTTTTGCCAACATAAAAACCAAACATTATTATATAATATTTTTGACGTTTCACAATCAGCGCGAGTCCCTGTTGTCATCGTAGGCCTTTCTTGTCGATTGGTTAGTTTAAATTAATTTTGTTACAACTGTTTCATTTCGAACTTATCGATTCGATTTATTTCAGGACGTAATGGGATTATTAGAAAAACGCGTGAAATCTCGTTTCTCTCATCGCACCCTGTATTTTTTCAACAAATTGAACTTTAAGGATTATATGAAAATAGCAGAAGATTTACTTACACTTCCAAGGGATTTTCCTACACCCAAATTCAGAAAGGATTGGAATACTCATGTGAAGGTATGTAAAATAGTTTTTATGTAATATTTGTTTAGGAACATGTAAAATAAATACAGATGGAAACAGAAAATGTAAAAATATTTTTTGAAATTTTCACCAGTATGAAGTAGAAAATTCATTAAAGTCAATTTTTACTTTTTGTGTGGTAAAAAATGTTATCAGTATCCAACCAGTGATGACAGTATAACCACATAGTATATTTTTGTTCAGATAATGACAGCAAGTATTACACATGTGTTCAAAACTTAAGGATGGATGACATTTGTATATGAATAGAGACAACGGTAGACAAATATGACAAAGAACTGTATTACTCAATGTCTAACACAGGATAATACACAACAACTTATAGGATTAGGGCAGTAAAATTAAGTCAAGATAAACACATTAACACACCAAAAACCATCAACAGAGAATAATTTTAATGCAAAAACACAAAAACAAACATTTTCCACCATATTAAATGGTCATCTTTGGTTTTCTTAAATGGAGCATTAACAGAAATCTAAAGATACCGTTTAATATGGTGGAAAATATTTATTTTTGTGTTTTTTTTACATTAAAATTACTGTGCAACTTGAACACCAACTATATAATGTATTCACTCGTACACAAGGTCAGAGCCGGCCCTACCATAGGGCGAACGGAGCAGCAGCTCCAGGCGCTAAGTCCTAGGGGGTGCCTCAGTGGTAAAGAAAATTAAAGGGTATAAATTAGGGGCAACCAAGGGGGGCACCATAATAGGATTGCGCTCCATCCTAAAACTTGCCTCGGGCCGGCACTGCACAAGGCAAATCTCAGTCCAAGTGAATACACTATATAGTTGGTGTTTGAGTTGCACAACAATTACCGGCACGGTTTCATAAATACTAAATTAAAATTACTCTTCATTATTGGTTTTTGGTGTTTTAGTGTGTTTATCTATACTATATACATCCAGTATTCTGTTGGTGATAAAAGTAAATCTTTGGTGAGAAAAATGCATACAGTAGTTGGCCATAGATGGAGAATGGATGGAAAGTGCTTACTGGTACCCGGGCAGAGAGACGTGTCGATATCAATTATGTCCATGTCGAATTGCAATGCAGCACTTGCAACATTGCAACAGGTTTGTCGCCGAGCAAGTCTGCGACAAACCTGCTACGATTTATCAATCTTGACGTACCGTTTTTCTAGTTATTGCCGCTAGCAATCGTATTTGCTCTTTAGTTTTGGACATGCGTTTGTAACAGGTATATGTGAGAAATCTAAGAATTTATTGAAAATGTTTCATCAGTAATATCTATGTTTATGTAGTTTTAAAATTGTGTGTAAAGATAGTTCGTTTAAATGCGGTACACGAATAGTAAAGTGATTTTATATTTGTGTGTGTATATGTGATTTTATATATATTCTCTTGGACAAGTGTGTTCTTGGGTTTAAAGTAATTTTGTTCTGAATCTGTTCTCTGTTCATTGCAGGAAATTTTGCAAGATAAAACAGTCTCGAATGCTTTCCAAAGATTATATAATACATCAAATGATATTAGAGCTTTAAAAAAGTTTTTGGTATGTTTAAAATAATTCAAAATTCATTCAGAAATTTTAAATTCTATTCTTCTGTTTAATTCTATGAACCATATTATCTATTTTTAAGATATATCCTGTAAGTACAGTTGATGAAACTCATCCTTACATGGAAGCCAGTGATTTTCTAGATTCGCAAGCCATACAAATCTTGGATTCAAAGGCAGTAATGCTACATGGTAAATTATCTATTTTAAATTCATATTTTATTTAATACATAGAACACAAAATATGTATTATTATGTAGACAGATAAAACATTTATAAAAATTTAATCAGCATTATTCTACATAAAAGGATTAAAATATTTAATATTAAATTAAGATGAACATTTTTAACTCTGAAGAAAAAGATTGACTCTGTTATTTGACTTTATATTGTTGTGGTGTGAAAAGGACAAATCCTAACATTAGTGTTGCCTTCTGTTATGAAGAAACATTTTAAAAATATTAACATAATGTAATTATTTTGTTTTTTCGACTCTTATTAATTATCAAATTAAACAAGAGAGGGCCTTCCAGAAGTCACTGTTTATCAAGTTTTTTTAGAATTATGTTCTCACCGTCAGAACATTCTAAATGACGAATTAAAATGACACAGAGAGTATGAAAGCCAAAGATAACAGCTCATAATTAACATTCCAATGGTGAGAATGTTGAATCCTTGATAATACGAGGGAAAGTCATTAATTAAAGGGAATTATATTATAATGGACTTGAACCCAATGTTTCCTCCAACTTTGCTAGATGATATTACAAAGCAGTTATCCAAGCACATATTACCTGCTCGTGTTGGCAACCTGTTTTAGGCACGTGCAATGTCATATCAAAGATGGCCACCCAGCCATCATAATCCACTGTTGAGGAGGTGCAAAAGTGCTATACGTTTTTTGTGGTCAGAAGTTATGAAAATTGTAAAATTTATTGCGGGACTCTGGATAACTGGATCAATAGGAAGACAGTTGTTTAAGCCAACGTATGGTGTATGATTGTGTCCAGAGATTTGAGGAGGGCAGGTGCATTGTCTGTGATAAGAACCAATAAGGTTGACCGACAACTGTTGCAACAGATACATTCAAAGTGCAGATTTATACACAAATTTGGGAATTCTGGAGAATCAAAATTGTTGACATTAGGGTTTCTGAAACAGGATCCCGGTTGTTTTTTTAACCCGGGAAATATCCCGGGAAATTTTTCTTATCCCGGGAAATCCCGCAAATTTCTTAAAAATTCACTTTTTTTCTTATTTTGTGTTAAGGTTGAGGAGTTTTGCAAATAGAAAGCATAATTAACTCATTCACTGCCAGAATACATTTGTATTTATTAATTTTAAACCTACCTATTAGTTTTTTTAAATTTTTGCTCGTTATAGCATGTCACAAATGGTCAATAATCAATATATAGCTTATTTGTGGCAGGACTATAAAAATTCTTTACTTGTCGGAACCTGTAATATCTGGAATAATTGTGCTTACGCTGTCTTGAGTTTTAACCATGCCCAGTAGCTTCAATAAATGCCTGACGCCAGATTGTGCAAATTGGGCAAGGATACAAACGAGTACAAAGTCTGCAAGTATGAAGTTTTTCTTCATAAACCTGATTATTAAAGCCAAATGAATTGCCGAATTATCGAGCTCTAAGCTTGATGCCGCTATTAAAGCAGCCAAGGTAGACAAATCAAGAATACTAGAGAGCGAAAGAAGTACTACAATCTCGAAAACGAACTCGAAAGCTTCCAGGCTACAGGTGAAAAAACACATAATATCTGTCTTCTCTTAAATGCATTAAACACTATTCCAATCACATCAATTGAATCGGAAAGGGCATTCTCGGTGGCAAGACTTTTCATTACTAAAATAAGAATTAGAGTGAGTTATCGGAGTATTGACCATCTTTGCTTTTTAAAATCTTATAAAAGTTTGCAATATTTTGTATTATATTTTATTTAAAAAACGAAAATTACCTTCTAAATTAGAAGTTCATTTTTTTAATTTTTAACTCAATTCAAAACATTTTTTTTGTTGTTGTTGTATGCAGTTTCCAGCAAACTTTAATTAATTTTTTTCTATTTGTGAAAATTTCTACGTTATTTAAAGGTAATTTTTATTATAGGCCTATAGACCTAACACAGCATTATTAATATGATTTTGGAGGTTACAAAACTTTAAAATTACTTTAAAAAATGGAAAATAATTATATCATTTGATTTCAAGATATTTTGTATACCTTAAAAATAATTAATTCTATCCTGGGACAAGCAAAATACCGGGAAATGAGAAACCCTAGTTGACATCTCTGCTGAATTCAACACGACCCATAGCTGCGCATACATTATTATTCACAATGACCTAGAGTACAGGAAGTTTGCAGTAGACTGTTAAGTCTTTGTAATATCTAGCAAATTTCAGGGAAACATTGGTTTTGTGTCAATTATACTGAAATTGCCTTTAATTACTGACTTTCCCTTCAATAAACATAGAAGTTTTCCTCCTGTTTTATTTAATATATCTGTAAATATTTGATGAATCAAAATGTATTTCAAGAAACTAAAAATGTAATTGCAATTACCAATATTTATTTTGCTCTATAAAATATTATTTTAAATCTTAATATATATTGTCATCTATTGAAAACTTTAACTACTGTAAACTCAAAAATTATTACAAAATAAGAAAATTTGGAGCTACTTTATAATTTGTTATTGTAATGTTAACTTGTTTTAATATACATCATTTTATTAAATGTAAATTTTTACCTTTATTAATGATTTTAAATTGTAATGTTTTATTTCTACAGGTTTATCTATATTAGAGTTTTGTCTTGTAATCACTATGATGCACTTAATATCTGTGCATGAAGGAGAGTCGATTAATTTTGAAATTGTTTATAATGGTAAGAATGTTTTTTGAACGTTTTTATGACATAAGATCTTTCTTAAATTACATTATGATTATATATTGATCAAAAAAATAAAACTGGAAAATCGGTTCATTTTCATGTACAGTGAAACCTGTGTTGACTGGACTCGTACAGTACCAAATATTTTTCAGGTTTGACGGGTTTTTTTTAACACAAAATTGCTGTGTTCCTAAGAATTTTTCCACTGTAGGAAAGTTTCCATTTTATTAAGGTTCCATTTTGGATATGTTTTACTGTATCAAAATGTGATTGAATATCAGAACTTAGAAACAGAACTAACATGTTCATTAAGTTTATATCATGTTATTAAGTTTATATCATGTTATTAAGTTATTCAATGTTAGATCTTTACTTTGACTCAGTCATTCTTGTTGAAAATGTTGATTTGTGAACTCATATTGAACTGAACATAAAATTAAGTTTACAAAAATATCTATCATCAGAAGATTCTTGACAATTAAAATATATTTCCATGTCTCGGTAGCTCATAAATCCACCAAACTTTTAACTCTTCTGTGAAAGCACATTGTTTTTCAGTGCATTTATCTAAAGACAGAATAGCAACAAGCCCTGTGTCCTCATTTAAAGATTTTTCACGATTGGTTCAACTTTGATAATTCAAAACTCCCTTTAAATTTATTGAATTCTAGAAAATCTGATTGAGATTTGTCTGATAAATTTTTTTGGCTACTCCAAGCAAGTTTTCTAATTCCTGTTGAAAATACCACAACCTTCATTTTTATGCAAAGAAGCTCTTCACTTTTTAAAGTGGGTGAAATCATTATTTTTATTTTGTGTTAAATGGCAATTCATTTCAGAATTGAATGGCATAATATAATTCTCTTGATCGCACATGATTTTATTCTAACCTGAATTCTCACATTAAGTTTGTCTGAGTTAATTGTTACTTATAGCTGTCAAAACATATTAATCACATCGTGCGTGCCATAGTGGACTCTTAGTCTCCGAAAAACTTTTTGGTGTTTTTCAACAAGAAATTTTATAATTTCAGGAGGAAGATGAAGATCTTTCTGATCTTACAAATGTGTAGAATGATCTTCAAATTCAACTTTCTCTACCACCTCAACAAATCAACAACGATTAAGGAAATTCAGCTGCTGATATAATTTATAATTTTTACTATCGGCTTTTAAGTCTTTTAATATATTCAAACAAACAGATTTTCTCGATGCAAGATGCAATGAAAAGAAAGCAACACAGTTCTTACATTAAACTGTTCCAAATATTGTTTTGAGAGAGAGAGACAAATTATGTAAATGCTTCCAATCATTGAAGATACACCATCAGTTGTAACAGAAGCTAATTTTTTTTACATAACAGGAAAGCATTGAATAAATCCAGATTCCAAGTTTGACCTGACAGGGTAAAGAGGGAAAAGTGAATTGTAAACTCGGGGAGTACGTGGCCAACCTAAAAAATTCGTTTTGCCACATTGATGACGTTGCGTATTCCAATATGGTTTTACTTGTTCGTGTTTTACATATTTCCGATATTATTCAAACAGTCATCTGTATGCATGTTTTTCCTTATTTTATTTATATTGGTATTTGTTTTATTTGATTTTTTTTCACTTGTTACAGAATATAACAAATTCAAACGTGCCACTTGTTTATATCTAATTCTCTAAGTTAATGGCTATTGGAATGGCCACCTCCAATATAAAATATTTATTATTTTCTAAGAAACACTCGAAATAATAATAGAAAATTTGAAAGAATTAAAGCAGCCAAGTCTCAGTGGTGCAATTCTTTCGAGAGTTCTTACTTGGTAAATACTTGGTTGTGTGCGTTTCTAAATAAGTCACCGGGAAAGAACATAATGCTTGTTTTGAATGTCGGTCATTTTATTTTTTATGCTTTGTGTATAATTTTATGTCTTCTGTCAATATGACCACTAATTTGGCTATTAATGACTTCACACACACCCCACATTAATTATATACACAGATCATTAATAGCCAAATTAGTAGCTATATTGATAGAAGAGAAAATATTATAAAGGATGTAAAGCATTTTATAACAAGTAATTTTTTTATTTATATTTGCAATAAAGTAACAAATAATTGAAATATATATATTTTTTTTTCATAAGAATTTCAGAAGTATGTACAAAAAAAGGCATCATTGCAGCATTTTGAAAGGCCAGTTGTTTTTAAGGTTATTGTCATTCTAAACTTTCTTTTTCACTTATTTAAAAAAAAAAAAAAAAGCTTTAATTATTTAGAAATTGGCTTTATTTTCGTAGGCATTCGAGCACTTACTAGCCATAGAACTTATAAAAATCAAGCCCGGCAATTCTTGTAACATCAGAAAAAATTATGCCATGGTGGAAGTTCTCTTAGAACCATTGCAAGTGAGAGAAGCTCTTCAGAGATACCCAAATTTACCCACTGAGCTGCAGCAGTGGGCTTCCACTGTGCCAATATTTACATTTTAAACTCGATTCTCGGCACACAGGTTCTTGTCAATCACTATTTAAACTATACAAAAATTATTTTATATATCAGATTTTAGCAAATTAAATAAATTTTTATACAATGTAATTTTTTAATTCTGCATTGCAAAATTTGGAAATTTCAGTGCCAGGAAATGTTATCAAAGTAATTTTTATTATATGTTATTAAAATATATTTATAAGAATGTTGCTTCTTTATTTGGAATCGTATCACTGTTTGGTTAGAAGAGGGAAGAAACAAAGCACAGAGTGTACTAAGATAGAAGGATTGGTGAAAGAAGTTATTTGGATTTTTCATGAACTATAGAACACGCTTTACTTCCACAAAATGGCTACTTTATCTGGGTGGCCTGTAACTAGTCAACATAAAATGAATCATATATTACTGTCGGATATAATGATTTATGCTACTTGTAGCTGTTTATCCAGATATTTTATAGGAGGGAAATAATTAATAATAATCCATAAAATGTTTTGATAAACAGCTACAAGCAGCATATATATTAATTTTTTGGGGGTGGTCCGTTCAGATATGTCGGGCCCCGTCCCTCGTGCCATTCTGGGCCTGGCCGAATCTATGATGGACTTGCAAAAAGAGGCTCTCTTAGTTCCCACAGGGTGAAAAGAGTTTAAAAAAAAAAAGCAGCATAATAAGTGACTTGTCCCACTAGCAATTTTTCATAGCGAGACAGGTTGTTTTATGTAGTAGTATAGAAACAAATGAGATCGTTCGATACATATTTGTGCTGTGTTCAAACAGCTCTGACATCTGTCTCACACAAAATTACTGGCATTAGTTATTGTCAGAAGTCGCAGCAGTGATTCCCTGCCAAGTAAAAAAAGTCATCCACTGACTATATGTACAGGAATCGGAGTTGTCGATTTCTTGGCTCCCAAACACCCGAAGTAATTCCGAATCTCGTTCGAAAGAAAATTTCTTAGGTAAGATACAAAATTTCAAGATTCTTTAGTAAAGATAAGCTTGGCACTTAATAACCACTTTACGGCTTCTGAGGTGGACATTAGTATCTCATTCCAGTCTCCTGGGTAAGCCTGCAGTCTACACTCATGGTCAATGTGCTCAACAATCTGACGTGAAGCACCACAGTCACACTGGGCTTGGAACCTTCTTCCATTTGATCAAAGAGTCTCTACACCTGTTATGGCCCATCCTGACATGGTTTAATATGGTCCATGTTTTGCAAGGTAAGTCAAATCCCTGGACTTTTTCTCCGTTACAGAACAGACCATGCAAGTGGGGCCCCATTACTGTTTCCCAGCGGTTTTTCCACAATGTCATGTAGTCACCATTAATTGTGGCCATGTCTTGAGCTGCCCAAAAATTTGGATTCCGAGATTTCAAACGGTTAATACTCAAAGATGGAATGTCTAGGTGAACTTGGAGCTGAGGATTTTTGCTCATCTTTAGGGACTCACGAACAAGGGCCTTAGATCATCACAGGTCAGGTGGCATGACTCTTGCCAATAATGGTAGCCAAAGAACTGGTGTAGATCATATGGTACCAGATCAGGCACATGGTAACATTAAGCTGCGTATCTACCAATCTTGTATGGGAGCTATTCAGTCAGACGGGCACAATACTCAGCACACGAGTAAACCAGTCCTAAAGCTGAGCAGCGCAAGGTGTTAGCAGTTGATCCCCACATGGTTCCACAAAGCTTCTGTATTATATTCCTGCTCTTAAGTTTGCCGACAACATTTGTTAGATGCATCTTGAAAGACAGAGTACGATCAAGAGTGATTCCCAGGTATTTAGGGTACATATTATATCTGCTTAAAGGTGAAATGTAAGGTAAATACGGGTAAAAATCTTGTGGGTGCCGCTTCCGAGCGTCGTCTAAATTGTCATAAATGTTTACTTGTAATTTTTTTACATTATAAAATTACAATGCGGGATCACTATGGTTTCATGTGTCGTGTTTTTCCGAAAAGAAAAAAATAAAGATATTTGATCTGTTGTAACCGGATTTTTTGAGTGACCAGACGACCTTCAAGAACTGTCATAACAAGGAATTTATGTAGAACTGGAAAATAGAGATTCTGAAAACGAAGAACCCAGAGAAATTCTCTACAGATTTCTTCAGTAAAAGTTCAGTAACGATAACCGAAATCGTCGATCAAATTGTAGCGAACGATCCAGATTCTGAAAGGAGTGCAAAGGCAAGACAAGGCGTTTTGCATGCAATCTCCCGCTACCGACATTTGCTTCAGGAAAGGAAAAAAATCGACAAATGAAACTATACGACTTCATGGCAAAAAACCAGAATTCCAGAAAAGCCAGGACCTTCACAAAAAATGAACTTTACATTTCTGTGTGCATATGTTTGTTATTTAACATATATTATTATGCAAATTAATATAAAAATAACTTAAAAAGTAAAATTTGTTTATTTTTGGCCGCGTGTTCTCCTTCCCCTATTTATTCTGTGCAGGGCCGGCCTTCTCTATAAAGGGGCCCGGGTGCAAGAAACTATTTGGGTCCTACATTTTTTGTAAAATAAAAAAAATTACAAACACAAACATATATTAATGCATGTTTATTTAAAGCGTGATTTTGTTCTTGCTAATACATGAATTACTTCAGGAAAATTATAATTTTTGCAATTTCTTTTTCAATGCTTAATATAGCAATTGCATTNCTCGGGAGTTTCCCGAATCAAATAACAAAAACTAAACATTCGCATCACCGAGAATTAGTTTGAAGATTGTCGAAATTCAGAGATTACAATAATAATGTTTACGATAAAATGTACTTTTCGTCATACTGACAACGATAGGAATATTGTCGAGTTTTCTTGTGCATTCTTGACAATGTTAGGGCCCCCTCAATCGCGGGGCCCCGGTGCACAGCATCCGCCGCACCCCCCCGATGGCCTGCCCTGATTCTGTGTTAAAATGATTGTTTAACGCTATTTCATTTAGCGCTTTATCGTCTAGGTACTGTACGTATCGCCCGTGTTAACGGGATCTTATTGTAATGTGTTACTATAAAAATAACTTGTATTAGTTGCAGTTTATATTTAAGGTTCGTTTATCATCTTCCAATGAAATAGTACAGAGTATCTCCGAAATATAATATAGAATTTCAATTATTGTTCGTGATCCCTTTTTATAATGACCGAATAAATTTACGGATAAAACTATGCGGACGTGTACAAATTAGACGGTCCTATTCCGAAGAAAGTACAGTAATAGATATCGATGTATCGTTTGAACAAAAGTTGGCCCTATAAAATTCTATGACCGCTTACTATTGTTACGGGTTATTAGCGCCGCGATGTATAAGTTTTGATTTTGTTTGTGGCACGGTGAAAAGAACGCGTGTAGATACAAAACCGAAAACACGAGGAAATGCAACGTGCTGTTTATGTCAATGGTCCTACCTAAATTACGTTGTTATTGAGCTGCAATTTGAAAAAAAAAATTGTAGACATATAAATTCCCACTGTCGTCCGTCTTCCCTTAACTCGAGAAGAGAGACGGATGAAAACCTTAGAGGCAAAAGGCCCCGAATAACTATATAAGAATTTCCGATGCAAACCGAAAGTCACGTTATTTCAATTCAAAATTTTCATCCCTCGACTTGCACAGAACATACCGTTCTGTGTGATAATGAGTGTACCAAAGAAAATATTTTTGTTATGACAAATGATAATTGTAATGTTTAATTTACGCCTTTGTGTTATACAGTCGACCCCCTATAACACTGTTGATAATTCCGTTTTATATGAATTCCATATTGTACGAGTCACTTAGATTTTACAAACACGAGTGCCGGGCTGTGAACGGCTCACGTATTTGTAAAATCTAAGTGACTCGTACAACATGGAATTCATATAAAACGTAATAACCAACAGTGTTATAGGGGTGGGGTCGACTGCACTGTAAAATGCATACAGTTTCAAGTTAATTTTGAACTGAAGAGCCGTAGAAATTACTTGCACCATATTTAACTATATAAGAATTATATATTTTAAAACAGAACCATCTGTCAAGTTTGTCTGTTTTCACCTGGTAAATATACCACTTAATGTTACGGTACTCGTTATACGTTGAATGTAGCCAGTGTGGTTTAAAATAGTCATAAAGTTTAAACGGGCGTGACAAAAATATTAAAGTATTTAATAAGAGCAGATTGTTTACACGCGTATCACAAAAATGAAGTTTTTTAATATCGACATCCCCCAATATCGGTACTGTACTGTACATATTGTTCTATCGGAGACAGTAGGTTAATTACGAATAAATCATTCGTAGTTATGACCGGAAAATACCACAAATAAGAGTTCTGGCTATTGCCGCAGCGGCATAATTTAGAAATAATGCTAACTCGTTCGTTTATTCCTTCGGCCGCGTAAGGAAAATGAAACAATATTTTAATTAATTAATAAAGGAAAATTCATTTCTTAAAAACGAGCTAAAGTTGAAAAATAAATATTAAATTACCTTTTAAAGTTCGAATTTTTACTTTGCGTAAAATAATAAGACTAACATAAAACTGCGATGGAGGAATCGACTGTCTTCACCGGAAGAAAAAGACAAATACTAAAAAGTATTAGATACTTTCGTTCCGTTTTCATTATATTTTTCTAGGGGGGCCTTCTGCAGAACGAGGCCATAACCTCGTGTATTCGATGCTTATCGCGTTTTGGCCGAGTATAAAGCTTTTGTGGGGTTCAGAAACAATGCAACTTTGCCATTGCCTAAAAATTTGTATTATTAAAACTCGTCCCTACCCTCAAAATTAGCTTTTCGCCATTTTATAAGAATTAAAAATTAGTTTTAGTAAAATGTCGTAGTAGAACACGCAGTTTTAAATGTGACTCTATACCAGACAACATGCCCAACGTCCTGTAAACGATACCGATGACGTCATTCTCGTTTAATTCGTTCGACTTTACGAACGTAGTCCAAGTTCGCGAACCGTTTGAGGGCTGCTCTCGAACGTGTCTTGGCCAAAACATTTGCTCGATTGAGAACTGCTCTCTGCATTTTATTTGCGACTTCGTCGAGTGCTCTCTTTTGTAATCGAACAGTTCTCAATTCTTGCGTTCGAATACTCCCATTTTTAGTCGGAATCGCTTCGGATAAAACTTGCGTATTTAAACGATTCTGCTATAAAAACGGATGCAACTATGCGACATTTATCTGATAATGGAAACTGTTCGACACGGAAAAGAAATTCGGTACCGTGCCATTCCGGTTTACATAGGTTTTATCGTAAACATGGAACAAACGCAGTAATTACAATTCTCAAACTGATAAAGTACAAATATTTATCATCCATATTTCTACACAGATAATGCCTTTTTTTGTACACATTTCTAATCAACAAGAATTACAATCTTATGTTAAATGAAATAATAAACGTAGGTAAAAATTTAAATAATCTCACTACAAATGATTTTAAATTTTTGCAAATCTCTCGATATTTTGAATCGTTTATAACAAAACTCATCCCAGTCGACTGGACGGAAAAACACCAACTGCAGCAAAAAAATAAAAACAAGGAACAAAAACAACTACTTGTAGTATATTTTCTTTTTTTTTTATTAATTTTTTTGGTGGAGTTCTTTCATAAAACTTGTTATTGTACGTGTATAAATATATTTATTAGACTGAAGTTTCCAGACAAGAATGTTTGTGTATCTTAAATACGAATGAAAGACAATAACTGCACACTTACATTTCATCTTTACTGTTTAGGATTAGTAATCCTACATGGGTACTAAGGAGATGTACAGTACGTACATACAAAAAGGTGCGCTGTCACGTTGTGAACATAAAAGCCAAAAACTATATACCCAACGAGAACTTCTACCGATGGGAACTCAGAAATATGGCACGTGTCTCTGTCGGATCCTGTCTTGTTCGAGATTCGAACTCGAACTCGTCGTCTCGACCAAGTGAAAAACGAGGAATATAACCTGAGTGTGTCACTTAAATCGTCATTTCTCTGAGCGTAATGAGGTGATAAACGAGACTGGAAACGAACGGAGCGGTCGGTATGTGGGAGAATAACGCGCACACACCTATGCAGCACACAGCAGAAACAATAGAACTTTGATTCTTTTGTATTTTTTTTTTCTTCTTCTTTTAGAATTTCGACTACAACAAATTTGGAAGTATTCTTGGAAATGACATTCCAAGTATGAAAAATAATATTTATTTTATTTTCTCTTTACATTTTATGAAGCTTTTAAAAACCATACTTGAGAAATAAAATGCTATCTGTGAGGAGAGAAGAGTTCCAGTTTTTGTAAACAATAAAGAGGCACTTTTTTTTGGAAAATGACCAAAGATTGAAAAACTCTGAAACTCTACTCCCCGGTTGCAGGTACTGTCTTCACTCAATTGGATATATCTTGGGAGTTTATTAGGAGGAACATCACAAAATAACACACGTCTGATTATACTTTTCTCTAGGACTTTTACGGATACGGGCTTACGTGACATTAAATATATCTAATATAACACTAATTACATATTACGGATATTATCTAGAAAATTACATGTTATATTTTTGCATCCATTTCATTGTCGATCACGAATATTTGCTTCTGCTCTTGTTTTTGTTACGTCGACCAGGCAAAAAATAAGCCTTGACGCCTTATTCACAGGATATGCTCTTTTTAAATATCTTCATCTATGTTTTATATATATATACGCCATAATTTATCTACTGACGGGCATTGTGTATTTTTTTTTACTGACTACGACAAACCGTAATGCATTTTCTACCGTCCGACGAAAGCCTACTACGTTTTTTTTTTATTTGGATGTTTGTACATGTAGGTATCAGTATGGAAGTTGAAGTTTACTACGTTTCCAAGGGGATGCCAAACATGCTAGGCGAACGGAGTGTCCGTCGGTAAATGCCGTTATCCTGCACGTATTCGGGTAAATTATATGACAAAACTAACAGAACTCCTATATATTTTTTTTGTATTATTTCTGTATTTTTATGTACAATTCATGTTCCCTGATATACAGAAAAGACACAAAGCTCATCTACGCTGAACGTTGACGTAAGGAAATTATATTTTATCTTTTTTTTCTTCTTAAAATCTAATTTAACACAACTAAATTTACCTATTTATATTATCTGAAAATGAAATAAAGGCAAATTAAAATTTTTTCAACATTAACCAATGGAAGACCATCCCTATATTGCAGATTTGTATTTTTGATCTTGACTAAATTTTGATGAAATTAAAGGCATAACTTTGAAAGTCGATAAAAGTCTCTTTAAATTTTGGCACTACTACATTTATAAAATTCCATCAAATTAAATTTTCTTTACATTATTTTTTTTTCTTCTTTCTTTTTAAGCGTAGTTTAATCGAGGCTTGTGCCACTGGATAGGAACATTTAAAGGAAACACGCAATAGGGATTGGTGGATTAAAACAACGTAAAACACTCTGACCACTTCGCTTACACTACTACAACAAACAATAAACAACTGTGTAATAAACCCGTATGTCAAGAAATATATGCACCTGTCGAATTGAATAATTTGCTGGACAAAAACTACACTGGGAAAAATAAAATTGCACAGCATTCAAATAAATGGATGCAACCCAAATAAAGATATAACAACAACTACTGTGCATTTTTTTTTTAACAATCAGTCAACGACAAAAGTTCCCTTTTCTTTAACAGAAAAAGATAAAAACAAAAGGAACTCTCAATAACAATAATAATAAATGTAAAAAAACTAATCATTTGGAAAATAGATATGTTTAAGATAAACTGCTGCCATTTTTCTGGCACCCCATAATAATAATATGCTTAGGGAGTGAAATTTTTAAGTTTATTTATTAACCTCTTTTTTTTTTTTTTTTTTATTCTGCTACTTTTGAAAATGGCACGATTAAAATATTCCACAACTCAAAGTGAGCAAATAATTTGTCTAAATTAAACTTCCCCCATAAGTGAACAAATTACTTGTTTTTCTCCAATGAATCAATCAAATCATATTTCTAGGATCTAATTATTAAAAAGAGAATGATATATGACATATAAAATTGTAAGATATACATACATGGATATATATATTTATATATTATAGAATTATATACTTATGCAGAATAGATTATGTTTGAACCATGACTTTTAACTTCCCGGTGTTTAGATTTGATGATGATGTCCGTTTGGAAATAACTTTGTCATAGTTTGATGTTCAATAAGCTGCACCTACTTCTATTCTCCCGCACTATGAACAACTGCCTAATTTGTAAATGGCTCAAATTTGTCAAAGGCACAAAAAATGTCTGGGGAGAAAATTCTTGATATAATACACAATAAGTCACTTGTAAAGAGATCTGCTGTGTGCTGCTCATTGATTTTTATTTTTGTTCAAGATTTTGAAAAGTTTTTGATTCATTCTTTCTCTCTACAAGAGTTCATATTATTTTACAGTGGACACTTTTGGGTTCGTGGTTTTAGATGCTCGACTCCTTTCGGTAGACAGAGTGCAAATTTCCAGATGTGATAATCATGGGAAGGTGATCTGAGGTAGAATTTTTAGTACCTGTAAATTGTAATATTTTTATTATTATTATGACGTAACGATAGTCTTCTACTTTATGTTTTTTTTACCCTTACTCTTAATGTGATGATTGGAGGAAGGGGGTATTGTCCTGTATAAGAAATTAATTCTTTCTTGTACGCAACTCGCTGACAATCGGGCTTCGGCATCGTGGTCCCAACATTCTTCTATTGTGTCGCATAATGCTGCTAAACCCTGAAATAAAATGAAAGCTAAAATTAATTTTGAATATGAAAATATTAAGATTAATAAAATAAGGGTTTTTCTTTAGCTTTGTCAAATATGAGGGATGTTCAAAAAGCTCCTGGAAAATGTAAATAAAAACTCGACAAATTAAATTTAGCACTTTATTTCAGTTAAAACATTTTCCCATATAGCGTTGCCACCATTCTAAGTCCTTCAAGTAGAACTCAAGAGCTCTTTGATTCTAGCCACTGCACTACAAAACATTTCATTTGATCTATTTACTGCCAGTAAATCTTTTAATGTTTTTTATTAAAATTTGGAAATAAAAAAAAGTCCAATGTGGCTAGATCTGGACTGTAGGGAAGGCAAATCTCCTATCAGTATTCATGCAATACCACCCTGGTAGATCTTGTAAAGTGAGTTGGTGTGTTATTGTGATGGAACAATATACACAGAATAATTTTTCTCAAAATTGTTTTTCTTTTATAAAACGATCTGAAAAATTTTTAAATTGGAGTGAGTAGCCAGTGTAAAACACCAGCTGATTCTTGTGCAAAAGCTTTGGCATCCATTGCGATGAAAGCTTGCTTAGATTTAGCTTATCTTTTAGAATGTCTTCTGCAGATCCTTCCAGATACGCCCAACGTCTAAGCTATCATTTGCGATGTTATTTGGTCATCACATTTTACAGTAGTTTTCATAGCAAATATATTTTCTTCAGAAACTGAAGCTGATGGTCTCCCCCTATGACTTTCATCTTTGATATTCTTTCAATCCCTCACTAAAATGATTAATCCATTCATTAAGAGTAGCTTTCTTTGGTGCATTGTCTCTATAAACATCAATAGACTTAATAATATCAGGTTTTTTCCAACTAATTTACGTAAGAATTTTATGTTAGTGCACACTTCAAATTTAACTGAACCCAAGTTTGCAGATGCAAGAGTAATTTCAAACTGGTGTAACACCATGCACATCATGCAGAGCTGTCGTAAATATCTGATAAAACAAGTTTATGCTCCCATCAATTAATTATAAATATAGCATTCTGTTTATGAATAATAACCACTTTCCGGAAACTTTTTGAACAACCTTTGAATGTTTAACAAAAATAGAGCTATCAAACACTGGTACTAAATGCATCATACATCTATTTTTATAGTTTCTTTTAAATTTAAATTATTAATTTTAATTATTTATTATAATTAAACTATCAAGAACAGATAGTAAAAATTTTCTAAACTAATTTGCAAACTGCTTTCTGTATTTGATAACAGGCCAAAACAAAATAGTAAATAAAATACAAATTTATTACTTTTGATTCCAAAATGAGAAATTTAGTATTTTATTCTTTTATATATTTTTCACAATAAAGCTAAAATTAGGTTACAAGTAACTTAGTAAATAGATATACAATATATAAAAAATATGTTAATAGAGATAAATACAGAAATAGATCTAATTTCTAAAGAAACGTTAATTTTGAATGTTTAATTATTAATCTTGCATTTACCCGTGCCGTTACTTATACGCCATTATATGTAAAATATACCCAACCAAATACTCACAAAGGTCTTTAAAAATAAACTGCCCTTGTGAAACTTGTGATTATTTGATATATCTAAATTCTTCTAAAACTGGCCAATTATACGACTGTTGGAATTGGCAACATTTTTGGGGAAGTAAAAATCAAAAATCAATCAAGATCGTGACTTTAATTCAATACTTCTAAAAGAAACTTTATTTAAGTGAAGTATTAAATACTTCACTTAAATAATCATTAAATTTAATCATCAGAAATCAACACATCTGTAGTGAAAAATCCACATTACTACTACAAGTCTACAAAAAGTTGGTTTAAAGACAAATGCTACTGTTGTGAAGTGGAGCACGGTCACCCGACCTAGACCCAATACAAAATTAGCGGAGATCGCGACACAAGATCTTTATACTGGATAAATAGGTTTTCTAATATTTCTGAGGTGACAGAGGCAATAGAAAGAAATTGGTTTAATAAACTGCAGCTTTTACAAAAATTAATTTTCTTTATGCCAAATAGAATTCCTGATGTTATAAAAGAAAAACAATAAAAATCCAGCAATGAGTCACTTAACTTTTCCAGCAACATTGGTGGTGCCATCTGATATGATATTTTGTTTAAAAAACTTTATATTTTTAACTATTATAAAATGGCAAAAGCTTAATTCTGAGGGTAGGGATGGGTTTTATAAAAAGTTGTAAATGCTAATAACGAATAAAATCGTCATTAAGTCAGACCCTACTGGATATGTAGCACAACCTACTTGACCTTTAATCACCAAAATTTAACATCGATCCTCCTAATGAACAAATCTCCGTGTAAAATTTCAGAAATTTTCAAAAAGCTTTAAGTTTAAGCTGTTTCAACAGCTTCAAAGAAAGTGAAAAAAAGACACACACTCATCCATAGCTGAAATCCGGAATTTTTACCGATTTTTCCGATTAACGTCCCGTATTTTCCTAAACCCCAATTAAATTTTTCTTTAAATCCTAAGCTAAACCCGAACTTGAAAAAGGGGGAAAAATTCCAATCTCCCCTTTTGTTCAAAGTAAACATCCGTCCACTTCGAAAATAATCCCACATTCCAACTCCAAAGTTGATAGTTAGCATGATCCCAAGGACAACTTTGACCCATCCGCGTACCTTTTATCTCACAACAATTGGTCACCTGACCATTCTCCCATGACGAAGCTATAAAAGCCACTTGCTTCCCCCTCTCGGGAGAGTTGTTCATCAACCGTCACCTACAATTTCCTTGAATATTGTGTCCTTCCAATATTGTGTCCTGGTCCTACCGTGTTGGATAAATAATATTTTCCTCAAGGATAACTATAGACATAAAGAGATATGGAACAATTTTTCTGAACTCTCTCTCGGCCCTTCGCGTTTTAGGGACTCAGAATTTTCCCTCGACAATAGTTATTGTACCATCTATATAGGTAGCTAATAAATCGTTGTTTCCTTGTTAAATTGGTGTCCTCTTTTACTCGTATATCGCCTGTCACCTTACCAATGGCACTCCTCCCTCCTCCACTCGACCCAAACAGTTACCCATTACCGCGCGATAAGTACAAGAAACAATTAAGCCATCTCTGACAAGTGAGTAAGTCCCTCCAACTTGAAAGCCAATCCACGGAGGTACGACATAGTCATACCCTCTCGGTTCTCACACATACATCCTGAAATTACCCTCGAAGTTTTTGCATTTCTTGACATTTCAAGGTCCCAAGTCCAAAAATGCAAAATACGGAAGGGAGGGTCATTTTTTCACCAATTGCCATTCTTTTCCTCTGTTATATATAACATCTGGGAAGGTAAAAATGGTTTGCAAGTGTATTATTATTTAATGAAAATGACTTAAACTTTTGAAATGGTAGTTATATTACTTATATTTAATCATTGTAATTTTCATATAAAGATATTTATATAANCACGTGCGGACGTTCGTCCTACTGCTATGTAAAGACTCTTGTACTATAATTCATAGATTAAAGGAAGATACCTTAACCAGTGTAATATGTTTCATCTAAGTGTCTCTCCGCTGATTCTGAATTAACCACACTTATGTCCAAAATGCATATTGGTGTGTAAGATATTCCTGAATAATGAGTGATGTTAAAGATGCCCAGCATCTACCTATGCACCCAGTTGTGAAGTAAAGAATAATTAAAAGAAGACACGGTTTCAGAATAAGTCAATGAATATAATAGCATTCTCAATTCTGAATAAAGGATTTAAATTCCTACCACTTTGTGATCTTATTCACTAACAAAGAAAATTGACATCATCAATCAAGAATAGTTAATATGTTCATATTTAGTTTGTTTTATTTTATATAGCTGTTTAATATGTTTCAACAACTGTAATTATTTTTTGATAAACTATTTAATCAAAGTTAAAAAATAATAATTTATTAAAAAGTTGGGTTACTATTTAAAATGTATGTTAAAATCATTTGATCCTGCTATTGAATATTTATTGTAATTTATATCTGTAATAAAATTTTTTTATTTTTGTATATAATTTTTTTATCATTTTATTATGCATTATATGTTTAGAAAAAGATATAAATTAGAAACATACCAACCACTGCCGTAAATCATCAGGCTATAATTTGGAATAAATAATTATAAATTATGCAATTACAGCCTGACGATTTTGGTGTTTTTGCATTGCATTGGGTTAGTAAGGTTGTTTATTTGATATAAATTAGCTTTATCTATAAGTTGATTGTGTATATAAGAATTTTAATTTTAAATTAAATCCATTTTAATTCTATATAACATATTGTAAAATATAAGTTTGTATTAATCTATTAATTTTTCAATAATTTCATATTACTTATAAATATAGTGCAGAAATTTTTGAACTATATTAATAGTAACAATAAAATGATTCATCATGTTTTCAATTACAATTTTCATAATTTAAATTACACCAATTCAATATATAGGATGTTCTCCTCGAACATTCCTACTCTTAAACTGGTGCTGTAAAATCCATTTGTTTGGCTATGTGAATAAAATGTGGTGGAGAATGTTAGTCAGTACTTGTGCACACACTTGAAAGGGCACTGCTGTCTTTGGTTTAGATTGCTGGAGCCGCATATCTTGGTCTGTCCAATCACCTGACATCGTATCTTTAAACTTTTTTCTTTGTGGGTATGTCAAGGATCGTGTGTATGATGATCCTTGATATGCCCACAAAGAAAAACTTCAAAGAAATTATGTCACACAGACATAAATGGACAGACCTAGAAATGGGCCTCGGCAATCTAGATCATATGGCAGTGGAGATCCAGATTGTCACCACGTGCAGCAGCAATGGTGCTTTCAAGCATATACACATGAAACTTAGGAGTACTGACCAACATTCTCCAACACATTTTATTTACATATCCAAACAAATGAATTTTACAGAAGTTTAAAACTAGGAATGCCTGGGGAACATCCTGTATATGCTGGGTAATTAGTGGGTTACTCAGTTCACAAATTGTAATGATTTATTAAAACTATAACAAGATACACAGTCAAACCTCAATACAATACCCTCTTTGTAATACTCATGAATGGGTCTTCTCCAAAAATATTAAGAGAACCCTTCAATATCTGTTGATTACTGAATGTATGATTTGTATTGCAAACAGCATCATTATCACAGGATCGTGTGACTTTTACACCCAAACTCAAACTTTTATGTAGACTCTATTAATCTATATTTAACTCTTACTGTTTGGGACAATTCAATTTAGTACCATGTTCAAAAAACATGCCAATTTCAGAGGCAAACATATGGTGATGCTAAATCAAAGTTTGACTGTATCTACATTTTGAATAATATTATTTAAAATATTTTAATTTTTGATTTCACTACAGTATGTGTATTTGACTTTTTTAAGACACAAATAATCTTGAGAAAAATCAAATATTTATTATTTTAAATATTTAATCTTTAGTAAGTAATCTGGAAGGAACTTCATACCTGTTGAGGAAATATTTTCACAGCTACATAATCATTTAGAATTTGAGCTTTCCACACAGCACCAAATCTTCCCTGTGCCTTAACTTCAATCAACTGAATAGGTCTTAAACCCAGAAAAGGAGATGGTGGTGGAAGAGGTGATGGTTCTGAGGTAGGCAGCTCGTTAAAGTATACCATTTTATGATGTCTGTATATCCAATAGGCCACGGCTATGACCACCGTTAAGATCATAAACGGTACCAATGTGTACATAAGTATATTAAAAATTTGTGTGCTGTTGTTTGCCATTGTAATTGGAACATTTGCACTTGGTTTAGGTTCTAAAATATCAAAAATAAAATAATTAATATAATTTGATTTTAATTCATAAATTAAAAATATATCCAATTTTTATAATAAAAACATTTCTCAAATATTAATCTAACAATTTTATCAATCAACTTTTGTTTTTTCATTCAGCATTGGAAAATCTATCATCTAAATACATATTTTAGGAGTATTAGGATACAGGAAGAGTAATTTACATTTACCATATTTACTCGGATATAAGACAATCTTGCATATAGAACAAGGTGTGACTTTAAAGATCAAAATAAATAAAATTAGATTTATTAATACAATTCTAATTTTATTTTGTTTAATCACAAATAAAATATCAAATGCACGTAAATGCACACATTGTCCTGCAAAAATTACTGGCAATACTAAGATTCAAGGATAAATCTTGTAAAATCGACAACATAATTTGTTCATGTAAAGCTGGACAATTCGGAACTTTTTTTTGCCAATTCTTAATAGTCGAATCCACTCTCTGTCGATTACACTTATGAGTTTCTCCGAATTTATATCGGGCTCTCATGTAATTTTGGAATTCAATTCAAAAACTTTGCTTTTCCTATTGCTATTAATCTTTACTCCTGATAATACATAAGAACAATTTAAATGATCCAGATAATATACTTTTGTTTTTAAACACCAGATGGTGAGAATCTGGTAAAAAAAATGCAAATACATAGTTTACAAACATTATTACAAAAAACAAAATAAATTCTTCGCTCATGCATATAGGACGACCTAGGTTATTGTACCTAGGTCGTCCTATACGCGTGAGCGAAGAGAATACAGCGTGAGCGAAGCAGTGAAAAATGAATAAAAACCTCGTCTTATATGCGAGTAAATATTGTAATTTAAATAATTAAAATACATAAACTGATATTAAATATTAGAATTTATATGATAAAGTAGTATCTTTAAAACAATACAGAACAAATTATTAAATCCAAGCCATTCTATTACGAATCTTCTAATACTTTTTCTTCAGAAAAGAACTATTTATAGTCATTTAACAATGGATGGAAACTCCTGATCTAAAGCAAAGGCATTTTTACCTATCTTGTCTTCTATGCAAACCATGGATTTTTCTATCTTTGGCAAAAATTACCTTTGTTTTCTAATTAGCATTATGACTGACTTTTGTCACTTTTGTAAACATTTATGCCAACTGAAAACATCCTCCTCAGCTTTTTGCCATTTTTTGGCTCTGCCAAGAAGATTTTTCTGCATTTCATTTGTAAATGTGCAAAATGTAGAGTGGCATTCTTCACATCAGATTCATCTTAAATGCTTCTTTTAGCATTTCTTGCATTGTGCTATACTTTACTAATAAAAAAATTTTTTANTATAACAAACGAGCAATTATTTATTGTGATGACATCACAATGCTGGGCTGCAATTTTTAATGATATTCTTTAAATTTATTTAATTTAAAATATATGCCCTCCCCTTAAATTAGTAGTATCTTGCCCCTGCACATCATACTTTTCCCGTTAGCAATAGTTGTGCCAGTTGTCTATCTATCTCCTTTCAGAGGAAATTTTTGAAATGAAATAACACGACTTCCAGTTTGCATTGAAAATTCATATATAGTTAACCGGGACCTCCCACCCCAAGGTTTTCACATCTGGTCTCGGCTTTCATCTATCTAGCACTGTTCTCAAGAGTAAAGAAGGACAGACAATGGACAATAGTGGGAATTTATAGGTCTACAATTTTTTCAAATTGCAGTCCAATTAAAAGCAGAAACAAAAACTCCATGAATGATAATCATAAAATAAAATAAAATATTAAATAAAAGTATATCAAATACCTTACATAATTATAATTTCAAAAAATTATATTTCTTTTTAAAATCTTTTTAAAAGTGTAGAATGGAAACTGAAATAACAACTAAGTATGATAGTAAATAAAAGAAATTCAAATAGTGTGAATTTAAATAAAAGAAATACATTCATATATGTATCATCTTATCATCTCAAATGTAAGTTGCATAATTATTGCTTGAAACATATAACTTGCCAAATACAATTAAAATTTTTGATTAAAACATTATAGCAGAGCAAATTCAAAATCACATCGCCAATAACAAATCATTCAAATGTTTCCTAGTGCATATATGTAATGTCATTGACTTGTTTGCAATCAAATTAAGTGTTGCATTGGTAATTTTGAGTATATAAACTCAAAACTACAAATGCAACACTTGCCATCAACTCAATGATAAATTACTTTCAATTTTAAACGTATCAATATGCATATTTTTCTCAATACTTTTCTTTCTTTCTCTCTTTTTTTTTTTGTAAATAAATTTACAATACAGAACACTTAAAAAAATTCAGTTAATTTATATCCAAATTGTAATAAAATTTACAACTAATACCAGATTTTTTCGCCACTCTTCCTTAATCGGTGGACGAATCTTTTTCTGTGCAACAACCTCTTGCATGTCCTCCAGTGTTGGATGTTGCCCTACGGTATCTTCGAAGGGTAACATATATTCATCTATGGGGCCTAAAATAAGTCAAATTTAAATTTAATTTAAAATTTTTAATACACACACATAAAATGAATAAAAATAAAATAAATTTCCTCATTACAAATTTTATATTATCTACATCAATTAATTTTATTAATTATACTAATTGCAAATATTAAGTTATTGAATATACATAAGACTATACCAGAAGTGGTGAACCATTTTGAACCCACATGTTATATAGCAGGGATGGCCAACAAGTCGATCATGATCGACAAAGCCAATTTTGGTCAATTGCTTGCAATGTGTAATTACTTTTCGTTTCAGAAATTACTCATGACTGACTTAATGTATTACATTTGTAACTGAACGCAATGCGTGAATGTGACGTGCAAACGCAACTGTAGTGATATCAGACCTCTGTGTCCTCCCTCAGATGTGGTTTTGTCAGTCCATGTGCAATCCATTTGTTTACAGTTGTAAAAAGGGAAAAAGAAATGTAGACAAAGGTTTGTAAAACCCAAAAAAAAAAGGAGGGAACAGGGACAGAGAGTAGGTCGGAACACAGTAGAGAGAGGAAGGGTGAAGTGGTGGTCCCCAAAAGTGACAACATTGAGTTTTAATTTTTCTTCTGTTTAAAATGTAAGTGCCTTTTCTTACCTATCTAAAAATAGTATGTATTTCATACCTCCCCCTCGCCACTTAGACTATGCCTACAACAACAAGTTGATTGCAACACATTTTTAAGATAAAAGTGGATCATATGTACACAAAAGTTGGACACCCCTGTTATATTGTATGCATACTTAGCTTTAATGATGTTTAGGTGTGCCAAAGTTTTAGACTTTGAATAACGATATTTAAATAAATTAAACGAATAAGCTTTAATTAGAAGAAATGTAAAAAACTGATCGATAAATCGAAAGACTGATTGAAAATGACAATGATAAATTGAAATTGTATGATATGGTACTTTGGCACAAGTGCTATAGGTTCACTACTCCTTCCCTATAGTTTTAAAATTAGTTTTATGGACCCCAAAAAAAGTGTCATTTTATCCAGAAANTAAATAATAATTTTAATAAAGCAGTATGTTTAATGTATTTCTTTCATATTAAGTGAATGTTTGTTTACTGAAAATAATAAAAATCTAAGTAAGTAAAGAATTAAAAAAACTATTAAATATTAATTAAAGGGTGTTAGAATTTCATAAAAACTATTAAGATTATTGTGTATGGAAGTTAAACAAAATGAAAACATGTTTTCTGAAATATATGAATTTTATTTCATATTTAATAGAACAGATATAAATATGTAAATGTAAAAAAACCCAAGCCAGTATAGGCAATCTTGGTCAAACCACCATGCTATAAATCCAAACGACATGAGATACAGACCCCAAAATTTATCAAGAGTATTTCTGTGCCTGGCTCTGTATATATATACTCAAGAGTATATATGCCTGGCTCTGATAAGCACTAATTCAAGGTAAAAAGTCCATACAAAGCTAGAGTTAAGCAATACACCATGATAATAGATCAAAAAAGAAAATTGCACCTTTTTATCACAGAGGAGGGACTTAAAGTCTCTCAAAGTCCTTCTGTGAGTAAAAATAATAATAATGATTTTATGAAGATTGATGCTCAAGCTATTACACTTGCACTAGCTCTGTATGCAAGACAATCCTCTTTGAAGAAGCTCTGACAAAGTGTTTGGAAATTTTCTGGAGTAGAACAATATCATCTGTATAAACCTGGGCATAGAAATCAGTACCAGTGAGATCCCTCAAAGTCCATTCACAATGAGATGCCATGGTAAAAGTGAGAAAACACCACCCTGCAGGCAGCATTGCACAGCAAATTCTCCTGGAGAAATCCCAACACCGTGACAGTAAGGGATAAAGTCAATCTGACAAACAAGAACAGGACCTAACACCATGTTCAAGTACAGTGTATCTACTAACTTCAGTAAAATATTCTTTTTAAAATGTATCAATACATCACGAAAGCAAAGAAATTTTCCTCAAGCCAGAAACAGATACCAGAAACAAAAATGTAGATAGAAATAGAAAATGTAGAAATATTTTATGAAATTTCAGTCAAAGCTAAACAGAAAATTGAAGATAGCAAGTTTTTACTTTTTACATGCTAAAAAATTGTCTGCTGAAGTCCAACCAACAGAAGTTTTTCATTGTAGCTATGCAATACTGTCTCAATTCAAAAACTGGCAGATATTCTTTACTAGCATTTGAAGAAATTGAAAAAATCTTTGAATCTAAATTTGATATAAAATTCAATGTACATATACAGTGGTATATCAGTATACATCTGCTTTAGAATATGTCCAATTTGGAATACGTCCAAACAGGACATATTGAATTAAGTTGTATACTGAACAAAAGTTGTATACCAAAACAAATTTTGCTCAGTATACAACTTAATTCAATTATATGCGCCATCTATGAACAAGTAGCACTATCGGTGTACTACACCAGACTAGACGTTCGTGGTGCCACAGTTTATCTCTTTGTTAAATTTCTTCTGATTTTAATTTGTAAGTAAAATTTTATTATTTTTATTAATCATGAATTGCAAAAAGGCAAATGAAAAGCAACAGAAAACTAAAAAATTACTAAAATCACAATAGAACTGAAAAAAGAGATTGTTGAGAAATATGAAGGTGGCATGCGTGTTCAAGATTTAACTGTTGCATACCATATTCTGAGAAAGACAATATTGACAATCGTAAAAAATAAAGACATTATTAAATCTGCTCACGTTGAGAAAGAGGTTAAATCAATTTCTAAGCAGAGATTGAAGACATTAGTTCATGTTGAAAAATTTCTTTTGCTTTGGATAACTGAAAAACAGTGTGCTTGCCACAGCGTATCAGAAGCAATTATTTGCAAGAAATCTAAAAAGATGCATGCTGATCTCATGAAAAATCAAGCAGGAACTAGCTAGGAAAGCGAGGTATTTAAAGCCAGCCATTTTTTTTTTCTTACATGAGAATGGATTAATCATCTTTACATTACTTCTTATGAGAAAGGTTGGCTTGGTATATATCCTATTCAGTATAAGTCCAAACACCAGGAACGGATTAAGGTCATATACTGAGGTTCCACTGTACAAGATTATTTATTAAAGTTTACTAGTTTTTAGACTGCTTCATGGTAGTGGAGAAGTGCTTATGTTAGGACTTTTGTCCGTCTGTCAGATTTCCATGCGCATGTGCAATGACTTCACTTTTGTTACCTAAACATTATGTTCCATTCAATCCATTTGATTCAAATGTTGGAAATTGGGCATATAACTTAAGCCTAAACTCAGTCAGCAAGAAATTTCCAACATTAGACTTGGAAGTTACCTAAGTGTTATGTTCCGTTCAATCCATTTATTGCACATGTCCACATGCATGCGCAAAAGGGAAGTGAACATTTTTGTTTACAGTCACTGTAAGCTATAGTAAAAACTATCCGGTTAGTATATTGTATTAAATTAAATTTTCTAATAATTATAATTTTAATCATTTATTAAATAATTTAGAACCATCTGGAAGAAAAAAAACTGACCTGAGGCAGGGCTTGAAACCACAACCTCCCCTTNAGTAAAATAAACTAATATCCAATGATAATCTGGAATAAATTCAAACATGATTAATAAAATAACTTTATAATAAAACAATATATCATAAAAATGTTTCAGAAAAGTTCTCAAGATATCAGGTGTCCAAAAAGTTACTTTACAGTGAGAAATGTGTAACAACATTAAAACTACACATAGGGCAATTCATACAAGTCTTGTAAGTTGTATGCAATACCACACATATAACGGGTCAACTGGTACCGAATGGATGGATTACGGGTCTTGCATGAAATACTGTACATGTAACTTTAATGTCATTAAAAATTTCTCACTGTAAAGTAACTTTTCAGACACCCTGTATATTCTCTTAAAATGTTTTATATTTTTTTATTTAGCAATTATCACTATATTTAAGATGAAACTTAAATTTATACTAATTTAGAGATCACTTAATGAAATTAGTGATGTTGAGATTTCTTAAAGTGAAAAAGCAAAAGTTGTATATTCAACAAAACTATAGAAATCAATGCACAATTGATTCTGAACTATCCAAGTTTTTAAAATTTAAATACTTCAGAGCCATAAAACTTTATCATACTAAATTTTAATACATTAATATTAACTGTTCTGTTAACTGTTAGAATTTATTAAATTTTAATAAATTCTATATTAATTATGATACTCAAACAAAAAAATTTTGACATCAATACCTTCTTGAACAGAACAGCGAGACACTAGTTCCCACAATACAAGGCCGCATGCATACATGTCTATCCTCAAGAAAGCATCCCTGTTGAAATTAATTGCTCCTTCTAAAACTTCCGGAGCCATGTAACGTCGAGTTCCGACCTGTAAAAAACACCACAAAATATTTATTACATCAATTTCCAGTGAATTAATTTAACTAAAAACAAATAAAACAAAATAACTTTTTGTGTATTATTAGAGTTATTAGATTTTAATTCATCACGTAGATGTATTAAAATATGGCACCAAGCCTACTCTGACTATTACTCAAAAACAATGATTCATATATGCAAAACAGATATAGATGCATGCTAAAATATCTGCAGAACCAATATCCAACTGTTTAGAATAGTTTGCTATAAAAATATAATATATTCACAAACCTCAATCAGTCCAGGAGAAGAAAACATTCAAAGAGTTGGTTTGTTTCAAAAGGTTTGGGAATACGTTACATTTTTATTCTACCATCCAAATTCTCGGAGTAATGAGTTATTGATGCATTTTTATATTTTTGATATATTTTGAATATTTAAAATACTTGAAACAGAGTTGGAAAAGCTTCAATTTACAATTAAAAAGTATGCATAATTGTTAAATCATTTGCATCAGACTGAATTTTTCTTTCATATACAGGTATACCTCGCCTTACGTCGGTAATTGGTTCCAGGAGAACGACTTAAGTCGAAAAATGACGTAAGTCGAATTTACTTGTCTCCAAATCTACTTGTCACTAGGCTAAACCATAAATTGCCAATTCCGGTTCTGTATTTTATTTATTAATGCATTTTTANTTTTTGACATTTCCCCCGCAGGGGAGAGGGACAGGATTAAGGCTTACTGTGAAAAACTAGGCTTCTATTATACTATTTTATATGCGGGTTTTTGCGTTTTTGATTGCGTTTTAATAGAGTACGTCAACAGAATGTACAGTAAGAAGGGATTTTTCGAAAAATTTTCTGCTAGGGGGGAAGTGTTATACATTTATAATAGATACATTTTGAGCCACAACAAGGCGTGGCGAGGTCTGCTAGTATGGAAATAAAATTGGGGCTTTGAATACCCAATAAAACAAGTGTTGAAAAGTTTACGCTCACATCAATTGATTATGAGCATAAAATTCTGTTTACAAATAATAACCATTTTCTGGGAACTTTATGAATGTCCTACTTATTACACAATTTTTCTATTCAATAAAATTTTAGATGATTTACTACAAATTAGCATCAAATCATAAAATTATATTTTATGATGTGTTAAAATTAAAAGATACTGTTTATTTTGACTGATAATTATTTGATTCAAGTAAAAGTTGATACATTTATAATCTGAAGTACTAAACAAATTTAATAATTTTGTCAATAAATTATAAAAAAAAAAGTTAACCTTCAAAAAACCGGAAAAGGAAAATAAAAAAAGAAAAAAAAAAGGAAAAACGGTTTTTTTTTTATAAATTAAATTATTAGAAATACTATGTATTCTTACTGCAATAATGCAGTTAATGAAATAAAAATAAAAATTTTGATAGTATTGACCGACTCGCAAGGTGACGGACGGCACCAAACAGAGTATGTATTTAATAGGAAAAGTGCCGGCGCATTTTGTTTCATCTGCAGCTCCTCTGTTTTATAAAAACATAGAAGGAAATGTGGGTGAAAGCTAAGTGGAATTGATTTCTCATTATTGTCTTCTATCTGTAATGATAAAAGACATTCTATATTTAATATTTGAAAACTTCCAATTTTAGCGACTGTTTTTGCTGCAAAAACAATACATAGACATCCTGTATACTTTAATCACTTTATCACTATCAATCACTACGTATAAATTTTTTTCTTTAACAGTTGCCCACACTGATAACTCATTCACTCTTAGCCACATAAAATTTTAGCAAACGATGCATCTACATAACACTTTATTACATCCAATTTCCAATCTAATGTTAATTATTTATATTTGTTGTGTTTGTTAACATTGCTTTAGTTCCTTTTTACATTCATAATTACGTAGATGATGATGATAATGCCACTGTAATTCTGTATATAATGCAAATGGCTGTAAAGTACCAAAGGCATTAGCATGAGTGTACAATGCTCAGAGATTGCAGTGCAAGGCCAGATGCATTAAAAACACCAATTGTATATGAAAAATTAAAACGCTAGTAAATTTAGACTGACTTATTACTATACTAAAATATATCCAATATTAATTAATTGCACTATAAGGAGTTCTTCAATAATCAGATCCACGTAAATGTGAAGCTCCAGAAGTGGATTGAAATTCATGCACAGAAAATGTTTTTAATTTTGTATGGAAAAAAATTAATAATAATAACAATTATTCTTATAATATTGTAAAAAGAAACCGTCAAACGCAAAATGAATATTTTATGTCCATATAAAGACATATCTGTAGAAATTTCTAAGAAGAGACAAATTTCTCAGAAAGAAACAATAGATGAATTTGAGTACTTAGATCGAACATCTTTGATGGGAATCAAATTGTCAGTCGGAGTTGACTCACCCCGCGATCTGGGCTCCGATCTCGTTACAATTCATAATGAGGAGGGGGGACCAATTAGAGAGCGGGGGCAGATCGGCATCGACCTATCGGAATGTTTGATCTGGGACCCAGAAAAAACTTATAAAAACCGCGCAAAAAAAAAATGTGAGGTTCTTGGTTCGTAGTTTTTGGCCTTTGATTCGCAGTGCTCCTATCCAGGATTCTTGTCATCCAGACGTTCTCCCACAAGAACTTCTCAGATATTCGGAGGACTTGTCTTCACCCTCCCAGGCCATCAAGATCGCTAAAGTCCACCTTGTAGATAGAAGACCTCAGTCTAAATAGTGTTGTGCAGCCCGGAGTAGACGTCTTCACACCACCATCGCCAGAAAGAAAAACTACCGACAGAACAGTTGAACTTTTAGTGTTACAAACTTGTTTCTTGGCTTTTGGATAGGTGTTATGCCATTTTAAGGATTTGTTGTAAGAGAAATTTTTATATTTATTAAATGGTATACAATGGATAACCTGTCTCAGTAAGCTCTTTTTTACTCCCACATGACAGTGCTGACCGCTCGACTGTCGCGACACTTTCTCCCCAATCGGCAAACCTCACATAAAGGTACAATTGTAATTATTTCTAATAGGTGAATATCAAATTTAAAAAGCTATAAGTTATTACAGAATAATACAAATTTTACAAAATAATAATTAAAAAGCAAATTGAACATCTTTACCTTGAGGTAGTCGCATAAAGATCCTTTTTCATGGAATGCTGTGATTAACCAATATTCCGTCTGAATGCTATCTCCCCTTTTTTCAACTCCCACAAACGATAAAATATTTTCATGCTTCATTTGTGGAAGTTTATAAATTTCTTGTTCAATTAACCAGGAATTTTTATCCTAAGAAAAAACCAATGTTTAATTTTAAAAATGTTAGCAAAAATATAGAGTAATCTTCTAATAAGAAGGCATTAATCAATATAAATAAAAGTCATTAACCTTATGTCAGCCTTGTAATTAATTGTGAAAACCATTATGAAAGCTAGAATGCTAGAACTGGAGAGATTAGGTTTTTTTAAAATCCACCCGAGGAAGTGACCGAAGATGTTCATATCAGTTTTCGTAATTATGCAAAGGCTCACATAAGGTTAGCAAGTTTTATTTATATCTCTATTTTCATTGCAAATCAAGAAAAACTTAACTTAGAAAAACATATTAAATTATTATTTTTAATTTATTATGATATCATGTTATTAATTATACAGATATTGTCAAAAAGAATTCATAAATAACGCTTCCCTAAATATAAGAAATGCATGATAAATGATAGAAATAATTATTACATTTCAGTAGTTATGCATTATTAGTCATTTGTCTTACTTAAAAACTTATTGACTCTTCAAGAAATGGAAAAAACATACAGCAATTAAAACACTAACATGCAGAAGTAGACAGTTGTTTAGCTGCTTTAATCATTTGTGTGTTTAATCCTTTGATGAATATGGGGAGCACTGTTATAAAAATTTTATTAAAACACTACTATTAAAAAATAAAGAAGAACAGAAAATGTCCACAATTGATGAAAAAGTTCCACAAACACCGAGACACACACCTCACAACACTTACTTGTAAGCTAAGTGCTGGAGTTAGAATTTTATTATCCTATTAATACATATATATACAACTATTTTTACTTTTTCATCAATTGTGGACATNACAGAAAAAAGTAATCTAAATTTACGAATGCATGTACTGTAAATACAGTATATACTTGTAAATATATATATTTTAATATGATTTTATGTGCTTTAAATGCTTTTCTAGTGATATTACAACTTCAATATTTGTGGCGGACAGACAAAGTCAAATAGAATGACTTAAACTTGATTTTTATTTTTTAATATACTTTTTTGACAAACGACGTAACTCAAAACGACGTAAGTCGAGGTATACCTGTATACAGGGTGCATAGTAAAGTTCTCAAACATTCATGTAACTGATGAATGCAGATAGTTACAGTCATGAATGTGACATATAGTTAGTTACAGTAAAGTGACTATGCAATATGAGATAAGACTGTTTGCAATGCCAATAGCGATAAAATTCAGAAGTTAGCACTCCTATCTCGAAAATGATGCACAATATGGAAAAAAAGGCAACTACAAAGTTGTAGAGCATGACCAAATTTAGTACAAAAGGACACCCTGCATGCACAAATATCATGAATAACAAGCATAGGAAGTAAAACCGTACATTAGACATGGAAATTATTCTAATGACCAACAAGAAGCTCTATCCCAGATACAAATATGTACTTCATAGTCCATTCCTACTTCTCACAATTTACTGCTATGCATTCATCAGTTACGTGATTATAAGGACTTCACTATGTACTCTGTACAGCCAATTTTAATCTTGTGAATTATGAACAACTCTGATCCATAAGAAGATAAAAACAGCACAAATGATAAAATAAAGAAAGAAGCGTTCTTTTTGAAATTATCTACGGTAAAATACAAGAATTCAGATCCATCAATAGTAAGCCAAAACTTCACTGCGTGGCAATGAAATAATCGCATTTAACATATTTAAATTTAGGAAGAGTTAAATTAACAAATGGAGAATTAAATCTATCAACATATCAACATTAATTATGATTGAATTTTAAAAATATTTCTTTAAAAAGGTTTTACTAAGCCTATTCTGAATATTTTTTCCCCTTTTCAGATATCAGCAAAACTGTTCCACAGTATAGCATCATTTAAATATTATACATAAGTTTTAATATGTCTAATTAATGATTAAATAGAGTAATTTTTGCAAAAAGGAGAAAGTCCATCTTTTGACCAAATTACTTTATTTAATTTTTCAAATTATTTCATTAGCCCAAATATAATTGATGGTACTGATTTAATGAATTTCATTTTACATATAATGTTACTAGAAATTTCCCCATCAAGCACAACGGACTACTTTCTATGAGAAAGTGGAGATTGAAGAATTGAGAAGAGCACAGATTTCAAGAAATTCAAGAAGAGTAGCTAATGTTTCTACAAATTAAGTAGCCTATACTACCCATCAAAGCATAGTTAATGCATTTTAAATAACTGGCTCGTTATTCCAATTGGATAATAGAACGTCGTGTGATCACTATAAAAAGTTTTCTTTTTAATTGTTGTAGAAGTGACACAATACAACTCTTTTTTTTAAAAGTTTAAATTTTAAATGCAACAAAGTAAGTTTAAAATATGCCATTTACCAAAATATTTGAAATGTGCAACTTAAAGGAAATTCATTCATCAAGCATGAACTAAATGAGATCATTGACCTCACTGGAATATAAGTGCGATCACTGATACGAAACTGATAAAATGTTTATTCTATAGCTAATATTTCTGAAAAATAAGTAGCCTATACTTTCCATCAGAACATAAAACGAATATACCCAAAATTTCATCTGGATTGAACAAAAATTGCATGAGTTATAAGGCTATGAGTAGCTAGTATGGTTATATCAAAATAAAACTTGATACTAATTGAAATATCCAAATAAATAAATAAATAAAAATAAAAACCAAAGAAAAGTATTCTAATTTTAGTATTAAATTTAACATGTTTGATTTTAAGTACAAAAATATAAAATTTGAATTTAAAGATGCAAGCAGACAGCTAATTAAGGCAACCAAATAAGAAGGCTTCTTCACAAAGAAAGATCTTTGGCTTATCTACAGCTATTAAATGCTTTAAAGGCTACATATAATATAATCTGCTTGCATTTTTTTATACATGGTGCAAGATTCATTCATTTTTTATAATTAAGAACTGCAATAAATTTTAATTTATATGAATTTTTACAAATCAGTCTTGCATTAAAATCAGTGAAATTCTAAATTTTCTATATAATAAACATCCATTTACAACACAATCCAGGAATTTAACATGTCCTGGTCATCGAACTTGCCAGATCTCAGTCCCACTGAGTATCTATGGGATGTTCTCCAATGGAAAAGTCCACTTTGCCAATCCTGCATCTGGAAACCTGCAGGAATTATAAGACCAACTTGTGACTGCACAGTCCCAGATACCAAAGAACACCTTTAGAGACCTTACTGAGTTTCTGCCTTGGAGACTCTGGGCTGTTTTAGCAGTGTATGGTGGAACAATAGCATTTTAGACACACAGCTGTAATGTTTTGCTTGATTAGTGTGGAAATGACTATTAAATTCACAATAAATTAAATAGTGTTTAACAAAAATTAATAAACTTATTAATAATTAAAATATCATCCGATTTAAAATAATTCTGCTACATAATAGTTTTCATTAAAGTACAAAAAAATGTTAAATGAAAAATGTGATTTAAATTTAAAGCATCACTTTTTCAAAATTTTAAGTGTGATCCTTATTTCAATATATAAAACTAAGATAATATTAATTCCATTTTGGATAACTTATTAAAAAGCAAAGAAATTCCTATCTTACTAAATATATTTTAATGCACTACTTTAAAAAATTGGGTTTCATGTGTAGTTTGATATCCACAAATAATTTTGGCACTGCACATGCATGATGTAGAAAAAACAAATGAGTGTCTAAATCATGCAATTAGATGCTTGAACTGAATATATTTTTTCGCTGCACAAATCAGATGTAGACAATCACAGCAACAAATAAGACAGTTTGACATCATTTTCTACAAAATGACTCAGTGGATGAATAAATCAACTGAAAAATTAATAAAAAAATTTTTATAATTTTCCAGAAATTTTTGATAAAAGGGGCGGAAAATATAAAGATGAGAAATAACAAATGGATGTTTTATTTTATTTTTCTTTTTTCTGTAAAGAATAAGTATGTTGTTATAACGATTGTATCATTGTCATCTATCTTTGATTTATCATCTTTCCCACCAGACAGTGCATGAATAAAAATGCAAATTGTGCAGTGGATTCCAACTGTACAAATTGCATGGAACTGTCATGATTATATGCTAGCTTGGCGTGGCAGAATCACTTGTGTGGATTCACTCAGCTTTAGAGCAAAGTTTATAAAAACTCATAAACAGGGAAAAAGGAAAAACAATTATTTTAGAAACACAGTTTACAGTACACTTCTTAAACACAGTACAGTACACTCTTCTTAATTCAAATAGCCTCTTAATTCAAACTAGACACTAGTTCCCATCCAATTCCTATTTTAATCAATATAAAATTTTCTCAGTAATTAGAACTTGATTAAGCCACCTCCTGTTTATTCAAAATTTATTCAAATTGAGAGCATGTTTTAGTAGACTAATATCATCTTCCCATTCTTGATATTTAATTAATAAATTAATTTTAAAAAAAATTAAGTTTAAAAATAAATTAATAAATTAAAATTTAAAAACATTTCAAATCAGTTGGTTGATGATTAGGACAGTTTAAGGTCACCTTGTGGCACTTACTTGTCATGGCTTCTTGTGGATAATACATAACCTTAGACACGAAAACTAAAGTGCAATACTGTATCTTTGTTTTGTATTTCTCATTGACAAAATATCATTCTGCTTGCCATATGGAGTTAATATGTTGTTAAAATCGTTTTTTGTTCTGTAACATCTAGAAATGATCTCCTTTTAATTCAAATGGTTTAAGGCTGTCCCTCCAAGTTCAAATTAATGAGCAAGTACTGTATTTGGAATTCTAACTAAAAGCAAAAGTTATCTAATGTCTTTGAAAGTAATTTAACTTTTTAATACATGTATATTTTTTCAACTTACAGATTTATCAATGTTCTATACAAATTACAATATTTTATATTTTATAATGTGCATTATTATGAAACAGATTATCATTTTAATTAGAGATGATGATAATTTTAATATTGGAGCAAATACTAATACAACAGAAAATAATAATACAGTAGAACCTCGAAAACTCGGCT